TGGGGCGTTTACATGGGAGTTTGCCCGCTAGGCCAAAGGCACCCAGGAGAGCAAAGACTTGCGTTAAAGAGGTGTTTCTCCTTTACAGGGAACAGTTCTGCTCAAGTTCCCTAGGACCGCCCTCCCAGAATTTTCTGCAGCTGAGAACAGATACACATTCCTGGCTGGCTCATTAAAGGACAGATCCTTAAAATGAACACGTGTGCCTCAAATGTCAACTTCTACTTGAACGCAGGTTTTCAGAGACTTGACAATGCATCTAAGTGAGCCCTGAGGATCTCCTGGGTTGCAGGGTTCTATACCCCTCCATTTTCATCTACTTGCACTAAGGATTTCTTTAATGAAGAAGGAAAACAAGAGTCACCCTAAAAACCTGCAAACCTTGAGTCATCTAGTAACACCAGCAAAAGTCTCAGAGTTCTATACAATGAAAGACTAAAACCAATCCACCTAGGAAATGGTGCATTTATGATACTTTGATCTCAGAAAGGATGCTTCAACCCTGTTTCTTTCAATCAGGATCAGACAGCTTGGATCCTGCCCAAGCTCCCCCCGTTTTATTTTGTGGCAAGTGGACCGGCTGATGTCGTACACACATCTCTACCACAAGTTTCCCAAAGAAGCCTCCTCTTCAAAAACCTTTGGTAGCTCCCCATCACAGCATTGAAGACTCTCATCAATTCTGCCCCAATCGACCTTATCTCCAAGTATGGAGGACGCAGGTGTCAAGAGATACAAAAATCAAAACACAAAAAGATGCACCCCACATTTCTCACTATGAGTTTTTGACTTTTATTTTTGATATTTAAGTTTTTAATCTATTTGAAGTTGATTTTTGTAGGTAAGGTAGGCATCCAACACCATCTTTTCCTGACTTTTTCCCCAGCTTCACTGACTCAATAGTCCGTCCTCCTGCCACAGGCTGACCTGCTACCTCCCCACCCAGCAATGCTCTACACGCATGTGCATCTGTCTCTGGCCCTGATTTCATACCACTGGTTGGTCTCTTGATTCTCCCACCGCATCCTTACTATCTACCAACTTTACCGGCTTAACAATCCCTGATTTCTTGTAGGGCAAGTCCCACTCTTTGTTTTTCTTCTCCAGAAGTGTCTTGGCTATTCTTCTTCTTCCATTAATTGCACCAATTTCCAGGAAGATCCGTGTAGGCATTCAGCTTGGAATGACATCGAATCTGTGGGACACTTTAAGGAGAATCAACTATTTCCACAATAGTAATTCTTCCTCTGGGTCAGGGTGGCAAACTATGGCCTGCATCTATTTTGGTAAAGTTTTCTGAGGACACAGCCCAGCCAAATATTTATGTATGTCCCTTCTTTGGCGGCTCTTGTGTTACATGGGAGAGTTGAGAGGTTAGTGAATGAGAACCCTCTGGCCAGAAAGTTTCTTCTTGGGCCTGTCCTGGGAAAAGTTTGCTGACCTCTGCTCTATACGAATGTAGCATATACTTCTCCATGAATTTAGGTTTTTTTTTTACTCTCCTCATAAGGTTATTTAAAGTTTTCCCTGTAACATAATACAAATTTTTGTTGAATTTATTCCTTGATACTTGATATTCTTTGATACTGTGGTAAAAAATATCTTCAAAATTAAATTTTCCAGTTGTTTCTGGTTGGTGTATAATAGCAATGCAATGGACTTTTGTAAATGATTCTTCTATTTGCACACCTTGTTAAACTCTCTTATTCTTTGTAGGAACTTGAGGATTTTTAATGGACGCAATATGGTATCTGCCAGGGATGACAGCTTTATCTCCTCCCTTCCCGTCTCTCTGCTTCTACTTTTTTCTTGCCTTACATCGGTTAGAGGTTCTAATACAATGTTGAGCAGAAGAGCGTTGAATGCCTGTGTGTGATTTTAAAGAACAATTCCAATGTTTGTCTGTGTAGGACCGCATTTGCTTTTGGTTATTCTCTACCAAGTTAAAGACGTCATCTCTTCTTAACTTACCAAGAGTTTTAAACATGAATGAATATGGACGTTTATCAATATTTTTCCTGCATTTGTTGAGTTGATCAAAGCGTTTTCCTCCTTAATCTGTTGAGGGGACTCATTGTACTAATGATTTTTCTAATGATAAAGAATCCTTGCACAATTCAACATAGTCAAAATGTAGTATCTTTTACATACATTGTTGGATTATACTTACTTATATTTTATTTAGGATTTTTGCATCTACACTTATGGATGAAACTGGCCTGTGATTTTTCCTTTTGGTAATATCTTTGTCTAGTTTTGGTATTAGGGAAGTTGGTTACACAGAACGAGTTGTCAAGTGTTCTTTCTTTTTCTGGTGTCTGGAAGAGTTTATGTAAAACTGAGATAATCTTTGAAAGTTTGGTGGAACTTGCCTACAGAACATCTAGACCTATGTTTTCATTGTGGATAGATTTTTAATCACTGCTTTCATTTCTTTAAGAGGTATAGGATTTTCAATTGTTTCTCTCCCTTCATCCATTCTAATATGTTCCATTTTCCAAGATACTTGTCCAAATTATGGGCCTATGTCTTTGATACTATTCACTTATCTTTTACATTTCAAAGTTATCGTAATTCTATCCCTCTTTCGTTTTATAATTTTCTGTATGTGCATCTTCTCTTCACTGATCTTGCCAGAGCTTTGTCTATTTTTGTTTATTTTAGTTTTTTTTTCAAATAACTAACTTTTTGCTTTACTGAGCCTCTCTCTACACACTGGAGATTAGATAGCCATCAAAGCAGTTCACAGATGAATTTAGCAGTATTATATAAGGTAAAAAAAAAAAAAAAAGAGTCCCAAAAGATTTTATAATTACTGATATCCAAGGATCTGGAATTTCAGATCACGACAAATCAAAAACAAACACCAAAAAGCCCAAAGACGCAGTGTTCTGTTTAAATCTGTACTTGTGGGGCGCCTGGGTGGCTCGGATGGTTAAGCGTCTGCCTTCGGCTCAGGTCATGATCCCAGGGTCCTGGGATCGAGCCCCGTATCGGGCTCCCTGCTCAGTGGGGAGCCTGCTTCTCCCTCTCCCTCTGCCTCGCCCCCGTTCATGCTCTCTCTCTCTCTCTGTATCTCTGTGTCTCAAATGAACAAATAAAATCTTTAAAAAAAATTAAATAAATAAATAAATAAATAAATAGATCTGTAGTTGTAAAACTCTAATGCAGCTCTGAAAGCCTTGGACCCATAGGGGTCAAAAGGCTGTGATGCTTCTCCATAATATTAAAGTTCATCAGTGTCAACCAAGAGTTTGAAATGATTGTTGATGATGAATTCAAAGACTCAAGAGAATAAAAGCAATGGTTATTATCAAGGTGACAAATGTAACCGTTGGTGATTTCAGTTTTTGATGCGATTTTCCATTGTCAGAGATGGCCACTCTGTGGCACTGCTTTCCTGGGGGCTCATATCTATGGACCCTTCACTGTCGAGAGCTACCCTGGACATTGACTACTGCAGGTACCTGCACCTGCTGGCCCTTCAACCCACTGTGGATGAAATCCCACTGCCTGCCCTCAAGATCACTTTGCTACTTCCTCCATGAAACGTTTGCTGATCTCACTAGAAAGTGATTTCTCTTGAGGACCTAGTGTATCGCTCATCTCCTTTGCCAATCCATAAGCTCTGAGAGGGCACGACAGTGTCTAATTATCCTGGTAGTCTCTACAGGACCAAACATAAGGCCTACAATTCAACTCTCTACTGAACAGAGATACTTACTGATGTTCTACTGTATGCCAAGGTTTTTCTCTATCAGGTGGGACATAATAGGATATGTGATATGTTTTGTTGCTTAAACTTTCTCTAAAAATTATTGGGATCAGTCTGATCCCTAAAATTCATTCATTAAGTTTCTGAGTTCCATCCAGGATTAGTAGTGCTAGCCAATTAAACGACTCAGTTTCTCTATAGTACCACACACTAGTGACCAAACAATAACTCCAGGCCAAAAAGGGAAGTTTATATTATGGACAAGATTTTCTATTAGTTTAAGAAAGTTTATAATCTATTTCAGATTTCCATCCAAAACGCTTGAAAGAATAATGTTTTGGCATTTGTAATATTTCAACTATGTGGAAAATTCTATTTGTACATTACATATGGATTTGGATACTCTCCTATACCCAAATATGAATTCTAAACTTCAGAGAATAAACCAACTGATAAATATGCAGGTTCCAGAAAATTTTGGTTGTAGGTAGGTGGCAGAACAATAGAAATATACCCTAGTTTTTTTTTAAGATTTTTTAAAAATTTTATTTTATTTTGAGTGAGGCAGAAGGAGAGAGAAGCAGACCCCCGACTGAGCAGGGACCCTATTGCGGGACTCGATCCCAGGACCCCAAGATCATGACCTGAGTTGAAGGCAGATGCTTAACCAACTGAGCCACCCAGGCGTGCCCCAAATACCCTAGTTTTTAATCAGTGATTTTACCTTATTTTGTATAGTAACCTGTGTGGTGAAAGGCAGGAAATAATGCCAGTATGTGGAGTGTGATCTTTTTTGAAGGAAAGAAAGAATGTGAAAATTTAGAAGCATTAAAATGAACAATGCATTTACAACTGAGGTGGTTCATGAATCTTAAACAGCTACTCAGAAAATTCAAATGAAATTTGTCATTTATATTGAAAGTTATATTGTATTTATTTGCCAAGTCTCGCGTTGAGACGGAGACGACTGCTGAGCAGAAACAGACCACCACTCTCCCTGGCGGCTGTGCTCCTTGCTGGCAGGCAGGTGGCCGGCGGGGTGGGGGTGACGTGGTGGGGGGACCTCCTAGCTGTACCCTGGTGGGTGGCAGTAACCACTCTCTTAGCAATATCCTAGGTTTAAAAAAAGGCCTATGACAATGGGAAAAAAGTGTTCTGAGTTCCAGGAAAAGGACCTGAAGACTTGGTCAAACCCAGGTGTAAGCTGGGGACCGTCCACAGGGCAGGCTTTAGGATGCACTCTTCGCCCGCCCCTCAGAGACAGTGGGGACACTGAGACCTGTACCTGTTTCTCAGCTTGTTTCAGGAGCTTCTGGAACCTCTCATCTTCCAGCACACCCAGCGGAAGGTCAGTCTCTCCCTGAGCTTTCAGCTCCTCCAGCTTTTGCCTCAAGCCCCTGAGGGCCTGCAGCTCATCATTGAGGCGGCTCTGCCGGGTTAGAGATGCCTGAAGGTCCAGTTCTAGGTCTAGAGATGTGCGCACTGGGCGTTCTTGTGCTGTTCTTCTCAGGACTGGCTGGCAAACCGTCTGCAGGGTTAGAAAACAACACAACAAAACACCCTTATTATGTGGGTACTCATTATTCTGCTCTTTGTCCTTCCTGGCACATGACAGCCAGCATTTCCTGGCTCCTTTGAAGTGAGGCGCCACCGGCCAGGTGACCTGCCTTGGCCGATGTGGCAGTGCTGTGTAGGCACCACCTCCGGGCAGAAGCCTTTCCAAGCCAGGGGGAGATGTGTGGATTTCTGTCCCCTGCTACTGGGACAGCAAAGATTCAGAGGCGGAGGCCCCGTCAGTGTGGGTCCCGAGCGAAGACAAAATGAGCAGAGCATCTAGCCAACCTGCAACGAACATGTAGCTGAGTGAGAAATGAACTTTATTGTTTTAAACCACAGAGACTTTTTAACTTGTTACCCTAGTATAGCCTCTCCTGGCCTGGCCAATTTACTACACAGAGCTTCTGCCCTCTGTGAAACAGACATACAAGAAACTGACCCTTCGTCCATTTCAGGACCAGTGACCGCACCCCAGAGCGCACTCCTTTAGCCATCATTTCTGTAGGTGCCGGCCAGAACGTAGCTGGTCACTCTGATTCTGAGCCCCTACTCTCATCAATATGCTGAAATCCCAGTTCCTTCCTCGATTTCCCATGGTCTAATATCCACTTTTACCCGTGAATCACTGGTGCTCTTCCCAGAGCCAATCTTATCTATTTAGCAAGAAATAATTACAGTGTATGTGTGACTAAATGTCTGCTGAGGTGGGGGCGGGGGGTGGTGGGCCAAACCCCAGGAAGAGAAGCCGCACTTGTTAACCTTGAAGACTTCCAGCAGTGAGCTGTGCCACAGGAAGTCAGGGAAGGGAGAGGTTGCTCGGGGCTGGTCATGCTTGCCTGAGGAAAGGAAGTCCAATGAGGCTGGGTAGGATTGCAACAGTGGAGGGGAACAAGGAGGGTATTTTGTGCCCAGACTGCTGGCAGCGGGAATGGAAAATAAGAGGTTACTAATAAAAACTGGTACTATTTGATACGAGGGGAGGGACTCGAATTTGAGAAGTACTCGGGCTTGAAGATCTGAAATGGCGGTGGTGCTCACGACAGAGGGGGGTGGGGGCCTGCATCCCCTTCCTGTTCCAGAGCCCTCGCCCAGGGCTGAAGAGCTCGTACCACTCCTCTTCCTCACCCAGCACATCCTGCTGTAATGTTCTCTAACGTTCTTACTAGGTTCCCTCTATTCAGCCTCTGCTCTAACAAACCTATTACACAGCAGAATCACTGAGACACACGCTTTCTTTGGCTGTATTGTTTTTCAGAATCAGAAATCCTTCCTCGTGGTTATGTAGATGGAACCTTTCTAAGGACTCCCATGTGCAGCAGTGTGCTGGCCGACGTTTAATAAGTGGCCCTGGGCGGGGGCATGGGTGGAGAGAGGAGCATGGGTTGTAGGGTTCGCCGATTTCTATGGTGTAAGTACGCCCGCCGTAACTGTTTCTGTGCTGTCGGCGGGATGTCACTATGTTGGGGAGACCGCAATGGTATCCCTCCTCCCCACCTCCCATCCCGCTACCATCTTCTTTTGAAATTTTATCCAGGTGTCAAGGCCATGGACCTCCGGCACACAGTCTTTTAGATACTCCCAACCAGATGAGCTCCTTCCTTTTTTTTTTTTTTTTAAGATTTTATTTATCCATTTTAGAGATGAGAGAGAGAGAGAGCGCAGGTGCACAAGCAGGGGGGAGGAGCAGAGGGAGCGGGACAAGCAAACTCCTCCCTCAGCGCTGAGCCCGATACCGGCTGGATCCCACAACCCTGAGATCATGAGCTGAGCCCAAATCAAGAGTCGGGGGCTCAACCGCCTAAGCCCCGCAGGCGCCCAACTTCCTTCCTTTCTTTCACCCACCGCACATTCAACAGTCCTGTGCGCTCCTTGAATGCCTCCTTTAGACTGAAGCCTCCTGCAGGCGGTGCTTCCCTCACCCACAGAGCTTAGCACACGCTTAAACAACACATCTCAGCAAAAGTATAATAGCTTAGTCCATTATTGCTACACAAATCATTAGTAAGCAAATAACTTTCATTAGCATTTCAGCTGGAGTAAGCAGGAATTGTTGAACTACTTGAACAGTCCAACCTTTTAATTTATTTAAATATTCTCTCAGACTTATCCTTTAAGGCTCATTCAGAGACCTATGGCTTCCAGGAAAACTGGCGCTTTCCCAAAAATGTCTGTTTTTTAAGCAAGTTGCTAATACTGTGTACTCCTTTAGCAGAATATCCGCCCGTCCAAAAAGGTCCTGAGTGTTACACTCTTGCTCGAGAGCCAGAGACTGTGTGGGGACACAGCACCATCAACCCACTCAGCAAGCCCCTTTTCCATCAATACTGCAAAGTGAATTTCCTGGCTTCATTATCACAGGATCCAAACCAGCACTGAACGGCTGCTCTCAAGCACACCCTCCCCCCGTCTCCATAACTAACACATCTGTGTCTCTCTGGAATCACAGTGGCTTCATTCAGCGGCCCAAGAGCATGGAGCAATGACGCTCAGCAGTTCACAATTTGTGATTCTGGATTGGACTGAGACAGGGAGATGTTGCTGGGGGGAATACATACCCTTTTGACCCTCAAACTGCGCCGTTCAGTGGAGTTTCTCACAAACAGTGATTTTTTAGCCAAGGTTGAACTGTCACTGTCACTTCGATTCAACTGGCAACAAAGGATAAAAAAAAAAAAAAGAAAATCACTGCATAACAGAGCGCTAGTGGTTTACAACTGAGAAGTTTATCAGGTAAAAGCAGGTGGTGAGGAAGTTGGTTCTTTAAGAAAATCCTTCCCAAACAAGTTTTTCTGTTCTATGCTTTTCTTAAACAACTAAGTTTTCTTACATAATTTCAACAATCGCCTTTTGGTGGTAGTTATCAGAACTCCTGCATTAAGATAATTATACATACTTGGAAATAAAATTATCCTTTGTATTTTTAGCTAATTTGCAATATTCATTTTTAAAAAGGAAGGTCTGTATAACCTAGAGGGTTATAACCAGATCAGAGTTCAGTCACAGTTTAGAACAACCGAGAATGCCCTTGGCTCAGACAGCCCATCCTCACCCCTTCACCTGCTTCAGGTCTAGGCTGAAACAGCACCTTCTCAACGATGCTTACTTTGAACCCTACTTAAACCTGAGACCCTTGTTTTCACCATGCCCAATCCCCCTTAACTTGCTCTACTGTTTTCCAGAGACTTGGTCCCCACCCAAGACACTTCATAATTTGTTCATCACGTTCACTGTTTGGCTTGACTCACAAGGATGTGAGCTCTGCAAGGGCCAGGCTCTGGGGCTCTTCTGCTCACAGAGGAATTCCAACCAACTGTCTAGAAACATGCTTAGCAGGGGGTGCTTCATAAAAGTATTTGTTGAACTGAATGAATAAATTTAGAATTTTGAAAGTATTTTTCTAAACCATTTTATAATTATTAATCTATATTACTGTAAGTCATAAATACTTCCGGAAATAGAACTTGGCAAACTGATGCAAATCCCACCATATTCTCTACAGAACTGTGAATCTGATTCCATCTCTAGAGGCATTATTAAAGATGATTTTTGTTCTAAAACCCAAGTCACAATTCTGGTTCTGTGGGATTAACATGGTTTGAAGCATATAGGATGTACTGCAGAAATACAAAAAATTTTGTTTCTAAATAAAGACTGAAGTACAAATATACTCAGCAGCCAGGTCCTTAATTTCACGTTTGCCAAATAAATGGCTTAGAGTTCATGAGACATTAAATTTAGGAAAAGGAAAAAAAAAAACCCCAAACTGAGAAGGCCCATAGGAGTGTGCTATTTCGTGTATATTTCATAGCGGCTTTAGCCCTGTGTGTCTGCAGTGGGAGTCTGAAGACTGCCGGTGCACAGTCTCTCGTCCCTGGGGGCCACTCGCCGGCGGGAGGGCAGGGCCCCGGCCCCCTTACCCGGCAGATGTACTGGTTACGCTCCCCCGGGGAGAAGGTCTGCGAGCGCACGATCACGCTGCTCCGCACGAAGGGCCGCTGCCGAGAGCTCAGGCAGCTGCGGTCTTTGGGGCGAACCGCCACCCCGGCATCACCTGCCTCCTCCGTGTTTGTCTCTTTATCGACCTGGAACGGAAGTCAGAAATTTGTCAGGAGCGGACGGGCCTGGATACCTGTCTGCCGCTTTCCTCTGAGTACAAAAGAAGTATCTATCTCACAACAGAGCCTCACCCAGCACTGGGGCCACTGGGGAGAGAAAGGCTTGGTGTTACTCCGGATGGGAACCTGGGGAGAGGGCTCTCCACTGAGTTAGGAAGTGACCTGCCGTGGGGAGGACAGGGTCGCCCATAAATGGAGGTGTCGTCTCTAACACATCAGACCCACATGAGGAAGGCTAAGATTTACAGAGGGTAAGTGTGGTTCTGTAGAAATTCTTATCTAGGAATACTTCATCATTAAATGCTGCTCAGCATTCCAATTAGGTTTTTCTTTTTTTTTTTTCAGAATAATGATAGAAGCAATTACATACAAGAAAATGAAAATGTACTACAAAGTTAGAGTTTCATATAGAATATGCAATTATATGTATTTGAAAATAGCAAGGCTCTGAAGCTGAGTTTGGATTTTTAGCTTCTCTTTGGAAATGTAACAAAAAAATAAAAGTAAAAACAGAAGTTTCTCAAAGTACAAACTCTCCAGGCACATGCAGATGGTTATTGTTGATCTTATGTGTATAAAATTATGTGTATATCCAACCTGCCTTGCGCTGGTTTATTGAAGAAAAGTCTTTGGTCAGGGTATAATACTATTTCCCCCAGGAATAAAGAACTGGAATTTCCTAGCCTCCATTACCAACATCCCAATGCACTCTCCACCCACACATCTCTCCCTCAACTAGCAAAGTTACTGCTGCATAACTTGGCTGGCACCTGCAGGGAACCCGAGCCACCTGCCACGTTCCAGAGCAGATTCCAGCCAGAACCCCACCCGAACCAAGAGGAACTTGAAATGTTTAGTTCAGGTTTGAGATGGAAATAAACTTACATTTACAAAACTTAACACAATCAAGTAGTTATCCTGGAATTTGGTAGCCATTCTGGAAATGCTTTTAATACATATTCAGAGGACATTTATGGAGATCTAAATAGCACTATTCATCTTCTTACATAAAATGTAAGCGAAGAATGAATATTTGGGGCCCATTAAAAAATTTTACAGCATTTCCACTGCCTCTGAGAGCCCATTTCCACAAACGCCTCTCAGGACGAGCTTTGCACAAAATCCTAACACGGGATCTCAGCCGGGACAGACTCGGCCTGCGCGGTGCCAACGGACAGGGGCGTCGGGGCGCGCGGCCGCGGGTCCTCACCAGGGTGCACGGTCCGGCAGGTGGCTGGCGCCCGCGGTCATCACAACCATGCTCGCCTCTCCTGCCCGCGTCCTCCTCCGCCTCGGGCGCGCTCGGGCACGAGCACAAGTCTCCTGGACAGCTACTGCCCTCTGGCAACTTCACGTGGGCCTCTTCTTCAGACGCAATTTCATCAGAGGCCTCTCGCAGCATGGTCAACCTGCGGTGCGACAAGACAGAAGGAAACAGGCCCCAGGTAGGTGAGGCAGGTGTGCGCCCCGGGCGGCGCAGTGAACGCGGCTCAAGCATGAGGACTTGAGCCGCGGCTGCGGCGTGAACTGCAGCTCACATGCGCGTGAAAGACACAACCACCACCTGACTCAAGCGACACGCAGCAACATCACACTTCGGCACTAGAAAGTTAAATGAATGAAATTTGACCTAATTCCTAGATATTAAAATAGAAATAGTCTGAAAATCACATATAAAGGGGCGCCTGGGTGGCTCAGTCATTAAGCGTCTGCCTTCGGCTCAGGTCATGATCCCAGGGTCCTGGGATCGAGCCCCGCATCGGGCTCCCTGCTCGGCGGGAAGCCTGCTTCTCCCTCTCCCACTCCCCCTGCTTGTGTTCCCTCTCTCGCTGTGTCTGTCTCTGTCAAAAATAAATAAATAAAATCTTAAAAGTCACATATAAAATTTAACCCCACCATTTAAAAAACTGACACTCACTATAATGTTTATTTATTGTAAAATTAATCGTACAACAGGATGGAGTGACTTTATTCTAAAAGCGAATAAAGACATAAGCACCGAAAATCTCCATTATCCAGGTGCCTGGCTGGCTCAGTCAGAAGAGCACGCGACTCTTGATCTTGGGGTTTTAAGTTCGAGTCCCACGTTGGGTGTAGAGAGTACTTAAAAGTAAAATCTTAAAAAAAAAATATGTCCATGGTCAACTGTGCTTACAGGCTAGCAGGGGTAAAACCCTGGGAAAAGGGAGTTTTACTACTGACATCACAAGAATCCTAATGCCATATGATCTTGTCTTTAACAAAAGCCATGGCATGGGCTGAGGTGGTATGATAAGCAGGGTTCCAGATAGTCTGTGTAACCTGCATGGACAGGAACATAATAGTACCAGCATGGCTTAGAATACCTCATGCTTTGTTGAGTTTCATGTCCTTAGAATGGAAACACTTCTTCCACTGAGAACTCAAAGTTGAGCTATAATTGTGATTGGTGACTTTCTGACAAATTAGCACACGCCAGTAATTAAACGCCTAGTCATGCAGTGAGCACGGGGGAGCGAGCAATGAATTCTGCGAGCTATAAATTCCTTTATGCTACATACCAAGTGTATTTTCTGAAACATATATGAAATGAATTGTATTTTACATACACAAAGAAGGCTTGGTATTTAAAAATACCATGATGAACCTTATAATCACTCTTGTATTTATTATTTTTGTAGTACTCTGATTCATAACCATTGTAAAGGGCTTCTGATAAGAACAAAGTACATCTGTGCCTTTGTGCATCACTGTAGTAAGCCTTCCTTCTAAATGTCTAAGAGTTTGTTATTTACGACATATCTTGTCACTGTTAGCTTGTAACAAGTTTTACACACACACACACTATACATATGTGTTAACAGTAGTTCAAACGTATCAGTATAAGCAACTACATATACATTAAAATCAATCCAAATAATTTTACATATATACTTTAAAAACGGATGCATTCACTAAGATTTGTTTTTAGAGAAAACTGCAAACCAGGAAATACAGTTCTTTTCTGTATGTGAATCTAGACAAAAGCTATAGTAACCTCTTTTTTTTTTTTTAACGGTGGGGGTGTGGAGAATGAGGAGGGAGCAGGAAAAGAAGATGGAAGTGGTAACAAATAGAAAGTGACGACTCAGAAGCTGTTTTCTAGAACGTGTGCCCTGACTTGCCTGAACCTAAATGGTACAATGGTACTTCTGGTAGTTTAAAGAAAAAGAAAGTAAGTTTTAAATTTATGTATGAATGGACAATACACCACCACATCTTTCAAAACAGGTATTTTTAGACTTAAAATTTCAAACAGCTCCGGAAAGAGTGTCAGCACTGAAGGAAGCAGGAACAAAGAGCCTCCTTCCTGTGTTCACGCTGATGCTGCCCGCCATTTCCCTGTTGCCTTCTTCGACTCTCTGATGACCAAAGAAGGTCTTTCCTTTAGTGGCGGCTCCCTGGCATGGCACTGTTCTCCAAAATTCCAGGGTAATAAGAACCGAACCTATGAAGGTTCCCCTGAAAGTTTCTTGTAAGAAACTAAACACATCCTCTTTGAGTTCCCAGAGAGCAAAAGGAAACAACTGTTTTTACCAATCTCCATCTGGACCTCTTTGCTCTTCTTCCTGCCCGGGTTCTTCTTCTTCTTCTTCTTCTTCTTCTTCTTCTTCTTCTTGTGCTAATTCCTGTTCCACAGCCAACAGCTCGGCTGATGTTCTTGCAAGTAAGGCTGACACTGCATCCTGGGGAATAGAAAGCATATATGGCACTGAACATCATCTACTGTGAGACATGATTTAAAAACTCATCAGATGGGGACATAAGCTTCCAGTTGTGAAAAAGAAGGTGGTACGGGACCCAATCCTCCTGCTGAGAACAAATATGAAAGCTGAATAAAATAAGACAAAAAGCAATAAACAAACCAAACTCCAGCTGTTCTAAAGCAAGGAAAGAGCAACACTGGCAATCAGGACTAGAGGCCAAGATCCCAGGGAGAAGAAAGTACAAGAAGGTGAAACGACATCACTGTCACTCTTCTCCCTTGGGGATGGTGTCAGCTCTAGCGGAGGGGCACAGAGGCTAAAACTATGGCTGTGCAGGACACTGGCAATATCAGTAGGATGCAAAGATGAAAACCAAGCTGAACCACCGTGGCAGGCAGCGCGCGAGGGGCCAGAGAAAGGACCTGTAGTGAGTCCGGTATTCTGTACAATACTCTTGGTGTGCTATTTGCTGTTCCTAAGTGGCATATGTGAAAGCAAGAGGTGAGAACCTGAAGAAAACCCAGCTGTGAGGAGGCTAAAACAGGAAGCAGATGCTTCAGTTTCTTTATGGTCCTAGGTCTTTTTTTTTCCCTAGGGAGAGGAAAATTGGAACTCAGGTCCTCCAAGTGATCCAGGTGATCTGTACCCTGCCTTCTGGAAGAATATTAAATCCTCTCTGGAGGAAGGTATCAGCCAGAGCCTCTATCATTCTTCATACATAATATGGAATCCACTGGAAACAGGACCCAATGACTGACCGAAGGGCAAGAACAGCAACAAACAAGATGAAAGAGGCAGATCTATAGGTGATCCATATACTGCAGTTATTCAGAGAAGGAATTTAAGATTTTACAATTAATATGTTCAATAAAACTGATGAAATGATGGAGAATTTCACTAGTGTATAGAGAAAGAATGCCACATTAGCACATAAGAGTGAAACTGCTGAAAATCAAAGAAAGAGAGAAAAATCTTATAAACAGTGAAAAAAAGATGCATTACTTTTGAAGGATCAACTATTCTCCAGCAGCTCAAGAGAATCAGTGGAAACCAAATGACAACAAAATGGTATATTCAGTGTGTTCAGAGAATTAACTGCCCACCTAGAACTCTGAATATGCAGAAAAAAAGTCCTTCACAAGTGGAAATAAAGACACTGACAGATCTGCACTAGAAGAAATACCAGAGGGAATTCTTCAAGCAGAAGGAAAATGACCCAAATGGAAGCACACTAATGCAGAAAGAAATGAAATACACCAGGAGGGGTAAAGATGTGGGGTAGTCTAAATGAATATTGACTGTCAATAAAAAATAATACCTTGTGGAATTTAAAATATGCGTACCTAAAATACATGACCAATAATTTCACAGAAGGCGGAAAGGGAATAAATGGAGTTAAAGTCTTTTAAATTCTTAGACTGCCTGGGAAAAAGTAAAAGCATTAATTTAAGGTAGCCTCTAATAGCGCAAGGATGCATGCTGTAATCACTAGGGATGTGCAAAAAATAAAGATTGTATTACTCATGATCTAATAGGAGGGAAAATGAAATTTAAAAAAATACTTGACTAATCCAAAAGAAGGAAAACAAGGAACAAAGACAGTACTGCAAGAAAACAAACAGTAAGACCATAGGGTCAAACCCAAATATATTACTAATTAGCATTAAATGTAAATGAACTAAATATTTCCATTAAAAAGTAAAGATTTTAAGACTGGATAATAAACCAAAACCAACTATATACTGCTTACAAGTGCAACACTTTATTTTTTTTTTTTTAAAGATTTTATTTATTTATTTGAGAGAGAGAGAGAATGAGAGATAGAAAGCACGAGAGGGAAGAGGGTCAGAGGGAGAAGCAGACTCCCTGCTGAGCAGGGAGCCCGATGTGGGACCCGATCCAGGGACTCCAGGATCATGACCTGAGCCGAAGGCAGTCGCTTAACCAACTGAGCCACCCAGGCGCCCCGAAGTGCAACACTTTAAATCTAAGAATTCAGAAGTGTTGAAGTAAAAGGATGGAAAAAGATAAAACCATGAAAACACTAACCAAAAAAAGGGCTGAGATAGCTTTATGAATATCAGACAAACAGAGTATAAAATAAGGGGTATTAGAACAGATAAAGAGGGATATTTTATAATAATAAAAGGGCCAGTTGAACAGAGAGATACAACACAATGCTAAATTTATATTTACCCAAAAATACAGACACAAAATTCAGAAAGCAAAAACTAACAAACTAAAAGGAGAAACAGATGTCTATAATCTTAAGTTGGAGGATTTTAATATACTTCTCAACAACTGGTAAAATAAGTGAGCTGAAAAATCAGTAAATGTGGAAGATTTGAAGGGCAAAATCAACAAACTTGACCTGCAACACACAAAACTTTTAACAACTTTTCAACAACACACAAAACTTTTACCAAAACTGACCACGTGCTAAGCCATAAAGCAAGTCTCAATATTCTGTATGATTAAATAGTATGTGCTCTGTTCTCTGAAAACAGTGAAATACAGCTAGAAATTGATAATAAAAAGATAACTAGAAAACCTCATTGTTTGGGAATTAAGTAAATACACTTCTAAAAAAAACCTCACAGATCAAAAAAGAAATGACAATGGAAATTATAAACTATTTTAAATTCAATGATATTTTAATAATCTCATATTATCAAACTTGTGAAAAGCAGCCAAAGCTGTGCTCAAAAAGAATTTTTTAGCCCTAAATGCATATATTGGAAAAAAACGTTATTAAATAATGATCTATCTCAAGAAGTAAAAAAAGTACAGCAAATTAAACCTAAAGAAAGTAGAAGCAAGGAAATAATAAAGAAAAGAGCAGAATTAACAAAATAGAAAACACACATATAAATAGAAAAAAAAAAATCAACAAGGCCAAAAGTTGTTTCTTTGAATAAAGTAAAAAACTTGACAAGTCCCTAGCAAGAGTGAAAAAAAACAGAAATGGTAAAAGTTACCCATGTGAGAAACAGAACAGAGAACATAGCAAAGTCCTTGCATATATGAAAATAAGAAGGTATCATGAATAACTTTGCCAAAATTTTGGTAATATAGATAAAACAGAAAAATCCTATAGAAAACACTACTTTTACTAAAATGAATACAAGTACAGAAAGCTGGAATAGTCCTATACTTAATAAAGAAATTGAACCTGTAATTAAAAAACAATCCACTAGCCCTTTTCAACTGGGATTCCATGAGAATTAAGCCTAATGCCCTCTAGCATCCATTATATTAAAACAAAATAAAATGTAACATCTAGAATGGTATGTTATGTGTCATCCTTGGGAGAAATAAGAAAGTAGTCATTGAAAACATTTTTTATAGTGCTTACTACTTTTGCAGAGCCTTAGTTGAGAAAGGCTGCTTCTCACAAAGAAAATTACGGGCTAGGCTGGTGAATTTTCTTGGGAATTCTTCCAAATATTTAAGGAAGATATGACACCCATCTTACAAAACCTTCTGCAGAGAGTAAAAAAAAGAATGCTTTCTAACTTATATTATGAAAACTGTAAAACCTTGATATCAAAAAATGACATTACAAAAAAAGGAAACTAAAGACTAATCTCTCTCATGAACATAAATGAAAAATAACCCGAACACAAAATCAAGAAATCAAATCCAGCAACGCATAAAAAAACACATGTAAAATATACCACAATGAAGTCTGTCCTATTCTAGGAATCCAAGGGCGGCTTAACATTCAAAAGTCAATCAATGTATAATCCACCACATTAAGAAAATAAAAGAGAACAATCGTGTAATCAATTTAAGAGGTAAGTAAACAGTAAAAATGTTTGATAAAATTCAATGTCCATGCATAATAAAAAGTCTTAGCAACCTAGAAAGAGCAAGAAATTCCTTTAATCTGATAGCAATTATCTATAAATAGCCTTAAAAATCACTCTAAATGACGAGTTATTTAAAGCCCTCACGGTGAAAAAAGTATAGTATTTTCTGCAGAGGTAGACAACTAAGTTCATAGAATAGAACAGAATTATCCATGACCAGACTCCCAAGCACCTTATGAGAAAGATGACATTGTGATACAGTTGGGAAAGAAAAGTTTTTCAACAAATGGTGCTGGGTCAATCAGCGATCACATGGATAAAAAGGAATCTTGACCCCTACCTCACACCTTATACAAAAAATAATTTCAGATGAACTTAGATCTAAATGTGAAAGGTAAGGCAATAAAGGTTTTAAGATAATACAGTAAACCATCTTCATGATCCTGCAGTAGGCAAACAGTTCTTAAATCGCAAAGGAAATCACTAAGCATACAGGGGAAAATTGATAAATAAGACTATGTTAAACCCGAGTACTTCCATTCACCAAAAGGCAACATTAAGAAAATGAATGGGCAAGCCACAGAATAGGAAAAGCTATTTGCAAAAAACATATTGGACAAAACACTCAAATCTAAAATTAAGAACTGCTACCAACCTATTAAAAAAAAAGAATCTGATAGAAAAATGGGCAAAATCTTGAACAGACACTTCACAAAAGATGACATCCATCCGGCCATTAAACATAATCAGGGCAATGCAAAAAACAGGAGAGTACTATATATCTATCACAATGGCTAAAATAAAGAAGATAAATAAAGACATGTACGAGATGCTAATAGCAGCACTACTCATAATAGCCCTCAAGTTAGAAACTCAAAGGTCCATCAATAGCAGAATGGATAAAGAAAGTGTGATATAATTATACAATGATCTGTCACACAACACTGAGCATGGCTGAAGTACAATTACACAAAACACAGATGACTTGCACAAACATAATGCTGAAAATGAGATGCCAGACATAAAGGAACATACACTGAATGATTCCATTATATAAAGTTCAAAGACAGAAGTCAGAATAGAGATTACCTTTAGGGCAGAGTGGTAATGACTAGATGGGGCACAAGGGAGGATTCTGGGGTGCTGGTAATGCACTATACCCTGATCTGGGTGGTAGCTACACAGCTGTGTTGACTTTGTGAAAATCCATTGGAAAATACACACTACCTTTGTACACTTTGTTATAAATCTCTCCATCACTCCTCTCCACAAAAGAAACAAGTTAAAGTGAGATTAGAGTAAGACAAGAAGTGTAATAAAAATGTATATATATGTGTAACAACACAGTGAACCTAAGAAACACCTGTAGAATACTCACCCAATAGGAGCAGAGCACACATTCTTCTCAAGGGCACATGGAACATTCTCCGGGAATGGTAGCATATGTTAGGCCGTAAAACAAGCCTCAGTAAACTTAGAAGGACTGAAATCATACAAAGTATGTGCTCTGACGGCACTGTAAGGAAATCAGAAATCAATAACACAAGGAAATCATAGGAAGTAACAAAGATGTGGAAATTAACACATTCCTAAATAACCAATGAGTCAAAGAAGTCACAAGGAAAATCAGAAAATACTTAGAGATGAATGAAATTTATAGCTAGGAGTGCCTGTGTCAAAGCAGAAGAAAGATCTCAAATCTATAACCTAACCTTGTACCTTAAGAAAATGGAGAAACAGTAAACCTAAAGTAATCAGAAGGGAGGAAATAATAAAGACTACTCTCTCTCTCTCTTAAAAAAAAACAAAAAAAACTCAGGGTTGTCAGATCGAGTCCTGCGTCGGGCTCCATCCTGGGCCTGGAGACTGCTTAAGATTCTCTCTTTCCCTCTCCTTCCTGCCCCTCTATAATAATAATAATAATAATAATAATAATAATAATAATAACAGAGTAGAAATTCATGAAATAGCAAACAGAGAAATATCAGAGAAGATCAATGAAACCAAAAGGTGATTCTTTGAAAAGATTCAAAAAAGTAAAAACCTTTAGCCAAACTGACCAAGAAAAAGAGAGAAAAAGCTCAAATTACTGAAATCAGGGGCCAAAGAGGGAATATCACTATCAACTCTACAGACATAAAATGAATTATAAGGGTTACCACAAACAACTGTTTGCCCACAAGTCAGACAACCTAGATAAGATGCACACATTCCAGAAAGACACAAACTACTCAAAGTGACATTATAACAAAATTCTGAGTAGACTTATAACAAGTAAGAGACTGAATTAGTAAACAAAACCTTTCCACAAAGTCCAAACCCAGAGGGCTTCACTGCCGAATTCTACCAAATATTTAAAGAAGAATTCATACCAATTCTTCTCAAACTCTTCCAGAAGACAGATGATGAGGGAATACTTCCTAACTCATTCCTTTAGGCCAAAATTACTCTGCTGTTGAAACTAGACAAAGACATCAGGAGAAAACTATGAATACAGACAAAAAAAGTTCTCAATAAAATACTAGAAAACTGAATCTAATAACATAAAAAGGATTATACACCATGACCAAGTGGGATTTATCCTAGGAATGCGACGGTTCAATAAACCGTATGAACAGGGTAAAGGATAAAACCACATGTCATCTCAATAGATTCAGAAAAGCATTGGTTAAATCCACAGCCTTTATAATAAAACACTCAACAAACTAGGAAAAGGATTCCCCTCAACTTGATGAAGGGCAACTACAACAAACCATTAGCAGAAATCATACATAATGGTGAAAAACTGAAAATTTCCCCCTAAGATCACATCCATGACAAGGATGTCTGCTCTCACAACTTCTTGCGATATCATAATGGAAGTTCTAGCCAGGGTGAAGGGGCAAGAAAAAGAAAGAAAAAGCAATTGTTAAGAAGAAAGAAGTAAAACCAACTCTTTGCAGAAGATATGATGTTACATATAGGAAATCCTAGGGAATCCACGAAGAAAACTATTCGACTTAAACCTGTTCAGTAAGGTTGTTGGATACAAGACAAGTAGTCAAAAATCAATTGTGCAATAAATAATCTGAAAATGAAATTAAGAAAATAGTTGTTTACAATAGCATCAAAAAGAATAAAATTAACAAAAGAAGTGTGATTTTAGGCTCTGAAGACGGCAAAACATTTTTTGAAAGAAGTTAATGAAGACCCAAATAAATGGGAAGATATCCCGTATTCATAATCAGAAGACTTAAAACTGTTAAGATGACAATACCCTCCAAATTGATCTACAGACTCAATGCCGTCTACATAAAAATCCTAGCTGCCTTTTTTTTTTTTTTTGCAGAAACTGACAAACTAAATACTAAAATTCATATGGAAATGCAAGGGACCCCAAATAGCCCAAACCATCTTAAAAAAGAAAAACAAAGATGGATGACTCACATGTTCTTATTTCAAAATAACTACAAAGCTATAGTCATCACAGTAGTGTGATGTTGGCACAAATACAGACATACAGATTAATAGAACAGAATTTAGAGTCCAGAAATATAAACGATCACACTTATGGTAAAGTGACTTTCAGCAAGGGTGCCAAGCTAATTCAGTGGGGAAAGACTAGTGTTTTCAATTAAATGGTATTGGGAACAATGGCATACCCACCTACAAGAAAATGAAATTGGACCTACTCCTCACATCACACATAAAAAATAACTCAAATGAATCGGAGACCTAAAAGTAACACTAAACTTTAAAACTCTCAGAAGAAAACACAGGAGTAAATCTTTATGATGTTCGGCTGGGCAAAGTCTTCTTAGATATGACACCAACAGCACAAGCAATGTAAGAAAAAAACACATCTGGACTTTTATCAAAATTTAGTATTTTCTACTGCAAACAAAACCATCAAGAAAGTGAAAAGAAACCCATAGAATGAGAGAAAATATCTGCAAGTCATTTATTGGATAAGGGACTTGTATCAAGAATACATGAGGAACTCTTATAACTCAATAATAAAATAATAATAAAGAGATAATAATCAAGTAAAATAAAAAAGATGAGGAACCCATCTAAAACACAAAGGATCCAAATAGATAGTTCTCAAAAAATTTTTTTTAAATATTCTAATGGCCAGTAACTCCATGAAAATGTGCTCAATATCCTTAGTCATTAGGGGAATATAAATCAAAACCACAATGAGATAGCACCTCACACCACACAGCATGGCTAAAATCAGAAAGACAGATTAATAACGTGGCAAGAGCTGGGATGACAGGAGCCCTCGTACATTGCTGGTGAGGATGTAAAATGGTGCACCCACTGTGGAAGACAGCTTGTCATTTCCTCTAAATGTTAAAACACAGAGCTACTATATGACCCAGCAGGTCATACACCTAGATACGTACACCAAAGATTAATGAAAATGTATGTCCAAACAAACCCTTATATAAATGTTCACAGCAGTGGTATTAATAATAGTCAAAAAGCAGAGACAGCCTAAATGCCCATCTGCTGATGAACAGAAAAATAAAAGGTGGTATATCCATATAATGGAGTATTATTTGGAAATATAAGGGAATGGGGTACTAATACATGCTAGAATATGGATGCACCCTGAAAACATGATGCTAAGTAAAAGAAGTATTATTCCATTTATATGAAATGCTCATAGTCAGCAAATTTATAGAGACAGAAAGATGAGTGGCTGCCTCGGGGGAAAGGCCTTAGGGAGAACAGGGAGCTACTGCAAATGGGTATGGGGCTTCTTTCTGGGATGACGACAGTGTTCGAATACTACATTGTGGTGATGGTGGCCCAGCTCCGTGAATATACTAAAAACCACTGACCTGTGAGCTTCAGACGGGTGAACTGTACGTTTTCAATGGAGGAACCGTATGGTATGTGAATTACACTGCATGAAACTGTTAAAAAAAATTTACCCACAGCACAACCATCACATCAGCACACTCCAAGGTACAAGTCCTATTTCATCATCCTGTGTGCCTTACTCAGTGTCGACCACAAAGTGGGGCGTGCGATACCAGCTCCACCAGCACGCTTGCTTTCCTTTCTCCACCTACCACGACATCCACTGTCGTGCCTTGCACACAGATGATCAGTAATTATCTGACTTCTGCTTGGTAAACTCTTTCCTCATAGATAACCGAAAATGAACTTGAACTTGGTAACAATATTCACAGATGCCAAGTCAGTGATGAATGGCTTCCCAGAATGCCCCCTGTAAATTTTCTGAAGTGTTGAATGTGGATGATTGTTGGTTACGACAGTACGACTGCTGATTTATAACAAGCTTAATAGACGATATTTATCACTTTACTGACGTAACAAATAGAAACTAAGACGTTCTTTAGCCTTAGTAGTTTAATGTCTGCAAATGATCTGAGTTCCAAATGTATAACCTGACAGTGGAATCAAAGATGTGAACACGACATATCAAAGTATAAATTTAAAGCAAAAGGTTTTCCGTGGTCACCTAACCCAGCTAAGACCATGCATCAGTTTATTCTGATGGAAGGAAGTGTGAGCAGAAATGAGTGATTCTTTTACAAACTATACTTGAAAGGAAGCTGGAAATTATCTTTCCTTCTGGTTTTGTCGTTGTTAGGAAGCTGGGAGGAAGGGGTAAGCTGGGGGAAGGACGGGTAGTGAAAGTGAGCAGGAACACACCGGTTACCACAGCATTCCACATTTCGCATTATTTCCTTTAGTCCTAAGGCTAAGGGTCCTTTAGCCTTTTTACTCCAATTTGGACTCACCAAGTCTATAGAATCTATTAATGGCTGATTTGGTTGAAATACAGAGTCCTCATTTTCTTCATCATTCTTTTTACAAGACATTTGCTTGGAAGGAAGCAGGTTATACCACAGAGTGAAAATCTCGTTGGAAAATGGTAAATCAGCCAGACTGATCTGAGTTCCAGCCTGTGTGAAATGAAGGTGGGGGGAGGGGGGGAGAAAAGAAGAGAAAATAAAATTTTTAAATTCATATTTGCCTCTTCTCATATAATTAAGATTATGCGGCAAGCCTGTTGTAGGGTTAAACAAATGCAATACTCATATAAAGCATTGGTAGATTTTTTTTTTAAACCTGAAGGTGTGACTAAGTAAGAAATAACCCCAATCTAGAAGCCAACCCTAGGATTATTTTGTGAGATACTATTTTGCTAAAACCTAATGACTGAGCATGCAACTTTTTGTAAGTAGAATTATTTTTTAATGAAAAGTCAAAAAATAAATCAAAAAAACAAATGATTAACCATAAATCATAATACCTCTTATAATATGCTGTAAGAGTCATTTGATTATTACTAACAAAAACCCATTATCCAGTATAAAATTCAAAAACAAAAACCTTACTGTGGTTCTTAAATGAGAGACCAGATAGCAAAATTTTTCTTTGGATTAGATGAATGTCAAAGAAAGTTTTTATATTCCAGCAAATGACACATATGAGCCAGCATCTAGTTAAACAGTACCACTTTTTTTAAAGGCTATTAATTAACGTATTTACTAACTTTAAGGAGCTTCTGACACACATATCTATTGTAGTAATCTGACCACCTACTGAGTCACTATCTTTGCTTTTTTTTTTATTGCCAGGTAATATTATCAAATATTTGTTTTCATATAAAGAAAAGGAAATACCAATAAGAAATCTATCATCCTTGTAAACTTTGTTCATCATGAAGCTTGTTTTTGTGTTTCCTATTGTACCGCAGAGAAAAGTTCAACACGAAACCTGCGCTGTTGTTTGGACACATGGGCACCCCCTCAATGTCTGCACTGGAACACCTTGTGTAACTTTTCTGGTATACAATGGTTTTCTGGTTATTATGTACAATGGTGTGTTAAACTCACCATTAATTATACATGAAGTCTCTCGAATGAGCATTTAAACATCGTACTCCTCTAAACAGCAACATTTAAGTCTTCCTAGAAGCTGTAATACCATGGCTGGGGAGAATATAATAAAGGGACTGGATACTCAGTCTCCTGCTTAATTTAAACTTATAACAGTGAATTATGTGTGGGATGTCTTTTTGATATCAGGCTCCATCGTTCACTAGCTTCGTGACCCTGGACACATTACCTCTCTTCGCAGTTCTTTATCTAAAAATAGGGGTACTCATACCTTCTCCCCTGAGACCATCACGAGGATTAAATGAGATAATGTACACCAAGCACCCAGCACAAAGACTCCCGTTGGGAATAACAAGCACGCTCCAGGGTGATCATCATGACAGAGGTCAAAGGGCAGAACGGGAGATAGATTTTACAGAAAATCACAACTAATAAGCAGATTTGAAAGGTCTTGAATAAGAAAATGAAAACCAGAAATCACTGCTTCTGATAAAAAAAATGAAACCACCACTGGCTGTGCCCGAGGCGCTGGGCAGATCTATGGTGGTCCCAGGGCCGGCGAAACAGCAACGAGAGAGTTTTTCTCAGCACACCCCAATCACGGGTCTCCTGCGGTAATGGGAACTGTGAAATGACCTACCAGGCATTCTTCACTTCGGTGTTTACTAACAGAGCAAAGATCTACTCTCAGTGTCTTCTGCTGTAAGGCTGTTTGGGAAATGGCCACTCGGAACATATCATTGAATAAGATGGATTCTGTGGCTGGATGGACTCTTGTTCGAAACAGACAGCTGACATCCGTCGAGGAGGGAAGCAGAGCAACCCTAAAGTATCTGCAAAGAACAAGTGTGAAATGGATTTTACAGGTACTTCAATTATACCAGATTCGCAGCTGTCATCTGAAATCATCTGCGAAAGAGAGAAACACAGGGGAACATGGAGTTCATCATCAACTGAAAGCTTTGCTGTCAGAATGGGCCCGTCTGTGCTCGGCGGCCCAGAGGCTCTGCTCTTCGCCCACCCATGCTGACCGTGCCCCCGGGCCTGCCGCTCCCCCCGGGGCTGCAGCAACGAGAGGACCCGGGAAGAGAAGGGGAGGAAAAAAAATCCGTGGGGCAGATGAATTTAACGTCCCACCTGCCTGGGGACAGCCAATTCCAAAGTAAAGTTTTCTGAGTCTGGGAAGATGGGATCATGCTAAGCAAACTTTGTCCCCAAGAATACTCACCCCCCAGTATTAAACAAGGGGTGCTGGTGATCATTTCCCAGGAGTGAAATACATTACCCTACTAGGGAATATTGTGAAGCAAACTGACAAATGTTATTGTCGAGCAGCACAGAAGTTTCAGAAAGGACAAACTGTTTCAAGAGGCTTATTGCTTTGTAAATTTCAGAGGAAGACTTACAGAAAACCAGTAACTTCTAATACTACTTTCAGGCGATTTTTTTCTAAAGCACACGTTACATGAGGATTCACAATTCTTAGAAACGGCATGAGGCATTCTCTTTTAAATCCCAGAAAGAAAACGCCCATTAAATCCCTCCCCCACTAATTCCGGCCTGGTCTAATTCCAATTCTAAAAGATGCCTTTCTCCTATTACGAAAACTGTAAATTCACAGGCAGGACTGAGGGATGTCCTATTATTTCTGTATTTTATATCAGAATATAAAATTGATGATGCAATATGTATAATTATGGAATTATCAGAATACAAAAACTGATTATGAAGATTCAGCCTTAGGGGACTTGGGAGCCTTGGGCCGCCGCTGTTAAGGCTGGAGATTCCGCAGAAGAAATCTGTGTCTGAAAGCCAGGAGGGGAAGTACACTGCAGAGCTGCAATGGAGGAAGCAATTCTCTGCCTCTCCAGACCCCAGTTTTCCTCTGTACCAGTGGCCTAACCACTTCTGCGGCCCCAAAACGTTTCCACGTGCAGAACAGTTTTACGTGGTTAAGAGCCACAGGCACGGGGGAAAGAAGGTAGGGGCGCTTTTCCTTTCATTCTGCTGTAGGTGGGGTCTCTCCACACTGAGTCAGGAGCCAACCAGCTGGAGCATAAGCTCTGCTTGGTGTCATTAATAACCAGAAAGTAAAATTTGAAGTTAAGGGGGGAAAAAAAGATCGATTTTAAGATACTTCATTTTTGGCATTGTCATTATGTAGACCAAGGCTTTTATGTAGGGGCTTAAGAACATGGCGCTAGACATCTCAGGAAGGTGCAGACCAGTCAGACGAGTAACCGCCCACGAGCTGGGGGTGGAAGAGCCCACTGCACTCACTGCCATCGGTCCTCAACTGCGCTGGCTGTCACCCTACCTCAGGGGCACTTTGTGGCTTCCCAGGAGGAAAGTGAGAGGCACCAAGATTGGCTTGGCAGTGGCACATGTGCCAAGCCCTTACAGCACGAGATTAAAGAAGATGCGTGTTCTCCGGGACTTCTGTGGTTTCCTCCTGGACTAGTGGGATGGCTCTCCCTGTTCCCAGGTTCGCTCCCTGGTGGAGCGGTCTTCTCCCAGATATGCCGTACTGAAATAAAAAGGCTGCCAACGCTCCAATAGCTCAGCCTCCTTACTGGTAGGAAGAAGTCACAAATAATATTGTCAGGGCCGTCTTCCCTGCGTACTACTACTGACTGGCGTTCCAGGAAGCAGGCTCTCTGGGGTGACACAGACACTCCCCAGTAAGCCTTCCCTCCTTCCGGTCTCCCTGTTTAATGTGGACGCACCCCCCCCACCCCAACACACACACCTTGATTTCAGGAGATCTTGCAGCCCACTCCCCTCCTGGAATCCTATTCCCCTCCAGCTTTGATGACCGTCAATACACAGACATCCACTGGCTCTCTTCTTCTGCTGTCTACTGAATAATTTCCATCTAGCTCTATTTTTATTTAGATCCAGTTTCTATTAGATCCAATTCTTAAGAGTATTCGGATATGAACTAAAAAGTGAACCCACAGGGAAAACATCCAGAACTCTTACATTTACTTTATTAAATGTCCCTCTCATTGAGGAATATTCTCTATCACTAAGGCAAACAACCACCTGGCTGGGTACAGCATCTTGGGGGCCACCCCTCAATAGCTCTTTCTTATTTCCAAACCCTTATACTGGCAGACTGAACATATTATTAAGTGCAGGGCTACACACAGAGATCCTGGATTTTAAGTCAGAGGTGTTAAGATGAAATCTGGCTTCTTTCTGGTGGTCTCTAGCCATAGGCCTTTAAGAGAGCCCCCAAAAGTCTGACTCCAGAGTGTGAACGGTGGTGAAGATCACTAGAGATACCTGTCAGGAGAGGCCCAGGCAAGAGGCTACAAAGCATTATGACATCACTTAAAGCGAAGTAACTTTAAGAAATTAATGGTCACAGGGAAGTGAATGCTTGACGCTGTGGAATGATACTCTTACGTGTAGCATGATATGGTGTTTGGCAAAGTTGTATTGATAAATGAAATTTAATCACTACATTTTCATGTAAAAGATCAGAAAATTACTTTAAACCAACAGCAGGCATAATTAGGCAACACCAAACATCTTAATTCAATTCAAAGAATCGGGCCCCAACATAGCATAATACAGAATTTCTGGCTGAAAAGGGAGATTAAAAGAGTCTTGTGTTCCTAAGCCTAATAATGAATTGGTTGGATAAGGATCAAAATCTAATATGCTTTCTGCACGTTCTCCTTTTCTTCTCGTCTGACCCTCTGTGGACTGGGGCCTGATCATCTCTGCTATGTCTTTTCCACGTTCATCGGGATGAACTGCTCGATTCCAATGTACAATTTATCATATGTGAACAATATCCAGTACTTCAATTTGTTCTTTGCTACTTTTACTTACACTTTTGAAGTATGAGGTATCAAGAAGGCGTGAAGATTTCGAAGTTGTGCTAAAATCACCATGAAACTTGACCTTTTTGCATCGTATCTGTCAAAAGAGAAGCTGATGAAACAGGGAAAGAGCACAGGCCATTTGTCCCTGCACCGAATTCTAAAACTGCCCCTCCGTGTGCGTTCCCTTACCTGAGGCCGACCTGCACCTGGGCTGTCTCCACGATGGTGACATCCCCTTCGCTGTAGGGAACATCTTCAACTTCACTAGGCCTAGGGAAAGGGCGACAGGGGGTGTAGGTGAACTGTTTACGAACAGGGTCCTGATTGTTATGGTTACTCTTTGCCACTTATTGATTCTGAATGAAAACCTGAATTAACAGCACTCCTCCAGCCCCCAGGGGATCTGACCCCAGTGAAAACTCACTCTTTTACATATTTCTTCATCTTTTCAAGAGGAGTCTGCCTCTGAGCCATTAAGGGACAGACTTCCTGATGCCTGACTTTCCTGAGCCTCCCTGGGGTACCCCACACCCCGAGACACATTCCAGGCTTTCAGAAATATACACAAGAAGATTCATGTGCCAAACGGGTAGTGGCCAGCAACTCCAACATTCTCATTGTTTTAAGCCTCCAAGCAGGTCAGATGGGATGTTTTTGGTATACTGAAATTTTCAGGCATTAGCCTACCGCCCTTCCACTGCAAAGAGTGGACTCAGGGCTGCAGTATGCTCCCAGGCTGGAACCCACACACACGGCTATAGGAGGAGAGACGGTGTAACCAAAAAGCGCTCCTGCCGAGTCCTTACTGTTTCACGAAACCTTCGTAGACCCCGCTGTCTCCAGCCACAGACTCATCGGACACAGCAGCCGACACGCAGGCCGTCTTCTCCCCGAGCAGGTGGATTACTCTTCTTTTTGGTAATGACTTTTCCATATCTAGGGAGGGGAGAGTGAGCGTACTAATTAGGATTATTATTAGGAAAAGTTAAGTATAAAAATACACACGTGGTTTGGTTATGAGAAATCCCAAAGTATCTGCATCTGAGCATCAAGGATGTTACTATTGGAGTCGACAGATGTGGCCGATTCAAGGCACCAAGACGTGACAGAGGTCCCTGGGATGCCAGCTATTTTGGTCATCATTTGAGAAATACTTGAAGGGAAGGGATAAATGACACACATTCCCATCGGTCCCTTGCTTCTCTCTGTCAGGGATTCATTGCAGTTAACCGTCCGCTCGGCGGCAAGGAGCAAGCTGCATCCCTCAACTATTAAAGATATCTGTATAATAGAGAGCATCTACTACCCAATGGCAAGAAAGGTTTCCGCCTCCTTTGCTCTCCCCTTCTCTGCACACACCATATTCTACATCTCCTGTGCTACCACGCTAACAGAAGTTAAACAAAAAAAAAGTCTTTGACTTACAGAATTCCTCACCAGCTAATACCATTAGGAAAAAAAAAAAAACAACTTTGTGCTACTGAATCTTTAGCACCAACGACCACTTAACTTTTATCTCGAACTCATATTCATACACTGCATCCTGCAGTGAGCAAAAAGCATTCATTTAAAGCTGCGTTCCTAGGTAATAAGCTGTGAGCCTGTGGAGTTCTTTTATCCTCCAGCGAGTGCGCGGGGACCAGAATTGGTATGCATTTCGCCCCCCTTCTGAGTCGTGACTTTACATCTTGTTAAGATGTTTAAGTTTTAAGGCTTCAGATTACAGGATTGATTGCTGCATTTTCCCTTTCATTTCTGGCAGTGGGAATGCTTTTTCCTTGATGATGCAGTGCCTCTCTCCGCCCACCCCCCTTTGTGAGGGGTGAAGGTGATGACATGATTTATTGATTACCCCCAGGAATATCCACGGCAGCTGAAATTGACTTTGACAATGACAGAGACTGACTGGAAGGACTTCGTAGTCATTCCAGTGCGGTCTCTGTCCTCCAGCAGGGCCTGGCGCCGGAGAGCGGGATGTGCCTAAACGAAGCCAACTTTGCCTGCGGAAGATTCCAGAATGCTGAGGGAGACGAGCGGCGTCACAACCCCGGGCCACCCGCCCCCCCACGTGGAGGTCAGACACCCCCGAATGGACCGAGTGCTGGTGATCTGACCTGAAGACGTTTAGTCTTTACGGTTAAATATATGCTTTTAGTTGTTTTCCCACATGGCACTCAATACTCTTTCCAAATAAAGCTCTCGGGTATCATTCCTTTAGGGTGAGTTTTTAATAGCAGCTGTCTAATACAAGATGCATTTGAAAGGTAAAAGCTCTATCCTGGAAGCTTTGGCGACACTGGGCTCTGGGCAGACTTCCCAGGCACAGCAGCAGACCCAGTGGCAAGAGCAAGGCGAGAGCCAGGCAAAGAAGCCCGCGGACCCAGGTGGGGTCGGACCCTGGGCGATTCTCACGCGGGTCTCCCCCTCATCCGGCAGCTGGCCTCACCGACCGGCCCCTCCAAACTGACTGAGCATGGACAAGGGGTCGCTAGAGAACACTCGCAATACACGAAGAATGAAAACAGCTTTGACATGTTCGAGATCCTTCAAGTCCAAAGCACAGAAGCATGGCAGAGAAAACACTACAGTTTCTTCTCTTGCTTCTTCTTTCGTACTTTCATAAATTTCAGTGGTTCGTGGTAGGAACCAGGCTTAGCACCATCTGTATGGATTATCCGCATACAGTAGTACTAACGACATGAACTGAGAGCAGAGCACCAGGCACAGTTAGAGGCTTTCGCTGTGTTCCGGCATCAATCCTCCCAGTACCCTGCGAGGTAGAGACTTGGTTGTTCCCATTCTGCAAGTGAGAAATACCAAGGCTGAGAGCCGGGGTAATGTGCTCGTGCTCGCTAAAACCAAGGTGAGGGTGCAGGCTTGGCTGGCTCCAGGAGCAGAGAGCATCGCTCTGCTCCACACACTGCACTCCTTCCTGGGGGCGGAAGGGAGGCCTGACCACTGGCTTCTGCTCACCTGGAGCCACTAAGTAAACACCACCCCTCTGCTCATTTTCTCTGCCGTGGATGATTTCAATGACACGTCACTTGGGAGTTGTGTGGCCCCTTCCGGGCGGTGCCAAACAGACCGCACTAATGTTTCCTGGCTCTCCAGGCTGCTGGCTGGCGGGGTGTCGGTCTTCAGGATCGGAAACCACACACACGGGACGGATTTGTCTCTCTCTCTCTAAACATCGAAACTGGCCAATCAGTTAAGACTCCGAATTCTCTGGACCAGAGATACAAAATAAGGAGGCTTCTCAAAGCGGCAGGAAAAGACCTGTGAAGAGGCCTGGCCTCTTCTGTGTGGTGGACACACAGTGACATGCGTAGATCTGAGCAGGGCTCCTGGGGACCGGCCCTGGAGCTTTTATTTCACATTTCGTTTCAGGCTGGCTCCAAAACGGACCATCGTCCTCAGACCACAACTACGGTCCTCTGCCAGCAAGGGTACCATCTTGTGCTCTTTATGCAACTACTTCTAATATAGCGAAAGCTTCCGCCTTGTAAAGGGATACAGATATTTAAAAAAAACAACAACAAAAATGAAATCTGCCCTCTGTCTGTGTCTGGGCGCATAGAGAGCCTGACTGGGGGCACACTTCCCTGGGTGCAGCTAGTAATGCGGCCAGAAGATGGCAGGGTACTACTACTACATCGGACCCGGCTTTCTCCAAATTCACTCTGGGCAGAAAGGGAGTGTCTGGCAAGAAACAAAAATCGTATTTATATAGAATTCCCTGAGCAATCTAAACACTGAACCCTGGTACTAATTAGCTGGTATGCTAAAGGCCTTGGTTTTAATCTGTTTTAGGCCAACTTTTAAAAGAAACCCTCTTCTTTTGCCTTGCCATTTCAGAGCCCGAATCTATTTGGAAGTATGAAGGATGTTCGTGAGTCAGCTGCCACCCTCCAGAGGGTTTCTGGACGAGAGGACAGACACTTCATGATTAAATCTAGTGAGCAGGGAAGGCGACTTTTATTTGATAAAGAAAAAAAGGTCTAGTTTCCAGGTATATCAATAAAAACTCCTTCTCCAATGAAGCCAAAATGAATGAGCAGCGCAGAGAGAAGGGGGGGGGTAGGCAGCACAACTGTTTCTGTGGAAAGAGCAGCCCTCCCACCATTCTTCTTGAGATAGTTAAGAGGGAGCAGGTGGAAGCAGAGGTGTCCGCTCACCTGCAGTTCCTTCGTACAACGGCTCCCGGGCACATTCGCGGAGGTCTTTATCCTCTGTCAGGGACTGGCACACGCCTCCTGAATGAGAATCCAGCAAGATCTGACTCTCGCCGAGGCTGATGTCTGCAAAATGGCTACTCAATTCACAGTCTTCAAAGTCGGCAGTGAACCGATGGAGAGGGGCATCGTGAGCAGACACGGGGAACGTGCCTTCCAGAGCCAAGGGGGAGCCGGGAGGTGACAGGGAGGAGAGGGAGGACCGGGACGACAGGGACGCCACAGACTTGGGGGCCTCAGTCCGTGGGGGAGTGTGGCCTGGGGCTGCAGCCGCCGCCCCGCACGGACCGCTCTGGCCGGGCTGCCGGGGGGACTTGACCACTTCATTTTCGTGGATGGTGGTGATGGGTCCAGAAGGAATGTAGCCGCCTTTCTCCTGCAGAAGGAGGTCCAGTTTGCACTGATAATCTGTGTCCACCTGGTCGCTCTGACTGGTGTAACAGAGCTCTCCGGAACTGAGGGAGCTGAGCGAGCCTCTGCTGGAAGTGTTCAGAGACCCCCGGCTGGAGGCCAGGGAGCCCAGGCTGCTCCCGGACGACATGGACAGGGTGCTGGCCGAGAGGCTGAGGGGAGAGGAGCACGCGCTGTGAAAACTGGGACGACACAGAAAACCCAAGCACGATGCCCGCCACCCCCTCCGGACCCCGGAGGGAAGGAACCCAGTGGCACCAGATAACATAATGACCGCGGGAAAAGGAACCTGCTATTAGTATACCACCTACTGCCATGTTGACTCATGGACACTTCCACCCTGGCTCTCCACATAGCAATTCTATTCGGACTAAAGATCGAGTCCCTTTTGCAAAAACCAAAACAAAGAAAGTGAGGAGTACCCACTGATAAATCTACCTGCACAGATATCCAGTAGCAAGTATGCGATTTAATAATACGGAAGGGGGAAAGGGGTGCCTGGGTGGCTCAGTTGGTTAAGCGACTGCCTTCGGCTCAGGTCATGATCCCAGGGTCCTGGGATCGAGCCCCGCATCGGGCTCCCTGCTCGGCGGGAAGCCTGCTTCTCCCTCCCCCACTCCCCCTGCTTGTGTTCCCTCTCTCGCTATGTCTCTCTCTATCAAATAAATAAATAAAATCTTAAAAAAAAAAAAAATAATACGGAAGGGGGAGAAACAGCATACACAGTACAGAGTATCAGTGTAGTTATTCTGGTTAAAGAATAAAGCTTTTAATTTTGAGAGAGAACAAAGGCAAGCTAATAAAGACAAAGAGGTTTCACACAGGCCCCTGTCTCCCTCAGGGTGTGCGTACTGAAGGAGTGAACATGTAGCTAACTATTTTAAGGCAAATCTTTCCTCCTCCTCCCTTTTTAAAAGAAAGGGTGATCGGTAGAAATGTGTCATTTCCTAAGTATGGATTCATAGCTAAAATATATAAAGTATATCTTCTTCCCACAATAACTTCCGCCTATGACCTTGGGGTCCATGAAAAAAAAATCTTGTAACTTTAAATTTGATCATCCAAGTTTTAATTGTACCAGCATAACTATTTTATTTACTTTTAAGCAGTTGAAAATAAAGAGAAAAGTAATCCAGGATGAACCAAAACACGCCTGAATGTAGTCAAGAAAAACTTTTCCCTCAAGAACCAAGCAGGCTTACCTTTTAAGTTGTGAATGCAAATAAGTAGTTAATTTAGTAGTTTCTTCAAGTTTCTGTAGGAGCTCTTTCCTTCGCTCTTCCAATTTCAATCTAGAAAAAAGAAACAGAAACGAATTTATTTCCATGTAATTATAATAAAGCACAGAAACTGAAGGAAAAGATTCTTATTATATAAACATTATGTACCATGAGGGGGAAACCCAAGTGAATGGACGGGAGAGAAAACAGAACCACCAGCAAGAAGCAAAGTGGGCGGAACTGTCCACAGCCACGCCAAGCAAAGAGGAAGATGCTATCCTCAATCAACATTACTGATAATTTTTAAAAAGCTGGTATTCTAAAATTTTCTTAAATGGGTAAAACAAACAAACAAAAAAACCCTTGTGCTCTCGTGAGGTAGGGAAACATAGTGAGGAGGAAAACCACAAATCACTAATAAAGATTGCAGAATCCTTCTACGGGCCTGGGATTTGGGCTTAAGTTACTAAAACACTTGACAGGAGTAACAAAGAACTGTGAAAGACCGTCCGAAGTGCTGGAATTGACAAGGACTGCTCCCAACTGACATTCAGTGACAAAAATTCCAATCTTACTTTGATGAGAATTTCAGCGATTAAGAAACAAATTAGTCCATATTGCCATTGTGAGCTCATTTGGGCTTAACGGTTTCAACAAGGAAAAGATACAAAAGTGATTTCCCTTCCTACTATACAGCACATCTCATTGCCCGCAACGATTATCGTGAAATTTCACCCACATTCAAGCGACCAAGTTTGTAAAGAAATTTTGAGTATCGGGGAACTGTGTATGTGAGTAAGTTATCTAAAAATATATCAAGCGTAACGTCTATGTCACCTGAAGGTCTTTAGACATCCCTGGAAGGAGCCCGTCCAGAGTGGTCAAGGACCGCAGATTGGGACCCAGAAAACCACCGTGGTTTCTGGTGGATTTGCTGCTACCAACCATGTGTCCTTAAACAAGTCACTTAGTCAAGGGGTCCCAGCGTTCTCATCTGCAAATTGGCTATTAAAATCCTACTGTGTCTGTCTGCTAAGGCTGTTAAAGGGATCAAATGGAGTGATGTATGTGAAAGTGCTCTGCAGACATCAAAACAAACCTTCCTTGTTCAAAGTCTCAGCATGCCTTACAAGGTGGGGATATAAAAATTAGTTATTTTTCTTTGGAGAAAAATAAAATTTCCCTAATTTCTAACCTCTTTGAAATGGATGTTTTAGGCAGTAAGGAAACATGGCCATATTTTATTTATAGCTATCTATCCTTTGATGTGTCACCAACACAATTTCATTATATGTTAAAATAAAAAAAGCAATTCTTGTCATTTTGTTTAGGACTTCAAAGCGTGATAAATTCTTACTTCCCAGCTTTCAAAGGTGTATTTTGAAAAGGAGTACAGTTCCTATTTTTTTTAATGTCTTAAATATAAACAAAAACTCAACATGGAAAAAAATTAATACAATTTAGATGAACTGAATTAGAAGGTAAAGGTCTGGAGAAAGCCCCCAAATCTACCAAAATCCGTGTCTTCTGAAACAGGAGAAACATTTTTGAAGGAAGTTTTAAAACTAAATACTGCACAAACGAAGGCTTTTCTGGTGTGGTGTAAGGAGGCTTCAGTATGACATTAGTGTGTTTCATGCTGAAATTTAAAATCCAAAGCTTTCCCCATCTCAGTCACAAGCGATGGTCCTCATTCTGGCCTCCTCCAGCAGATTGCTAAGGCCCTCTTATGGCTTCGAACTGCTGAGACCCGGCTTTGTGTTCTTGTTGGTATGCTCCCCAGTCAGATCCTAAGCTCCCGGAAGGCAATCACTAGCTCTTTCTCCCTCTTCCGCCCAGGCTGCCTGAAGAGCCCGGCGCCCCCGCCAGCACTCCCTTGTGGCTGGTGGCCGGGGTATCTAGATAACCCCTTCACTGGGAGAAGAATAACCAAGGCACTCAGGAGCCCTTCCAGTGGGGTGGCCTTCTTGGATCAAGCACGCCACTCCTATCTCTGATGTAATCACGGAAGGCAGAAGTCCTCCTCAGATTCCCGGTGTCCTTTGTAGGAAGCATCCTCCCCAACTTCCTCTGGACCAGGGAGTAGAAGAAATTGCTCAGGTATCAGCCCCTTCAAGAGGGTGCATCTCTGTCCTCCAAGCCCTTCTCCACGGTGAGAAAGGATCTTCTCCACCCGGCGCCTAGAAGATTCCTCTCCTGCTGGTCCGACTGACCCACACTATCCATTCATCTGCTCTTTGCGAGACAAGGGCAGTGCCTTCACACTGTCCCTTCTCTGTCCTTGTACCCTGAGAGAGAGAAGCACCTGCCCAGTCTCTCCTGATGAAGACCACCCAGAACTTTCCATGTAGGGAAAATGTCATGTCATCCATAGGGGTAAGAAGTTCCTTTTCCGTTAAAAAATAAATGACACTCATACCCCCACTTACTGGCTTTAAATTTTTTTCAGAATCAGAGACAGAAACATTCACATATAATTAAGGAAAATTAAGACATCTAGGTAAGAAGTAAGACAAAACTCTCAGGATCTGTGAGAAAATATGGAGCAATGTTAAGATCTTATCAGCTACAGAAAAGCACAGAGGTTTTGGAATTTGAGTAACTGTATGGAGAGAACATGGAAGATGTGTGAAAAGTCCCACACAAAATGACATTTTTCATTTGAGAGCCAACTGTCTTTGCTGATGGTCCCCCACAGTGAGCATCTCCCTCTTCCTGAAGTGCTTTATGACCCACGGTGGGAGCTCTGTCACTGCATTTGAGCGCTTGGCCTGGTGCGGGGCGGTGCTGGCCACACACGGCTGGCAGACTCTGGGGTCATGCTCACCGGCTGAAATTCAGGTGAGCTTAGGTCCTTCTGAGACCAGCTTTCAGCACTGATTCAGAATCTTGCCTGAGGCCACCCCTGAAATAATGAGAAACCTGCCATGTAAATGGAAAACGGGACAATTTGGGGGAATGCAGAAGTGGTTTCTATGGCAGTTGGGTAGGAGCCAAGAGGAAACTGAAGGATTTAGAACTGGTGAAGCATAATTTGTTTTATGATGAAACAAAGTTTTACACAGTGAATCTTATTTCCCAGAAGTTATCTCCCAACACCACCTGCTTTAGGGCTGAGGAAGCACCGGGTTTAGAGGTATTCTCTTGCTTTCTAAGGCACCTTGTTTCAGTTTAACAGTAACAATAAACAGAACAGAAACACTGTACATACACTAGGTGAGAAGAAATAATGAAGATCAAGAAAAGGTGAGAGAGTACAGAGGGGCAAGGTAAAACCACTGAGAAGGACAACAAAACCCAAAGCCACACCGTCGGTGTCTACTTGGAAAATAAAGGACTCGGCGCTCCCTTTGGCAGGCGGCTCTGCTCTTTCAGACACGTGAGATGCTGGGTTTGCATCCAAGGAGAGCAGTGAGAAAATTTTAAGTTGCTCAAGCAAGAAAGTATTAGTCCCCTCAACTTTATACAACAACATAATGACAGGGATTTGGCTTCTGGCCACCTACATACGACAGATACAAAACACAATTATATACACGTCCCTTCCTGCTAACGTCCAGTTGTGGGAGACCGGGGCACGCAGGTATCATAAGTTAGAGGGACATTCAAACTGTTTACTCCCCATCTGAGACAAACCCCATGGCTGGATCTCACTGAAGATGTAATTATTTCATATAAGTATTTTATAGCTCCTCTTCCTGATGAGTTCAAACCTCCTGTTTCTGCCGGAATTTGGACAGTTATTGTATGTATTATGCACAAAGTACAAAAGCCAGAGCCTAGGCACTTAGGAACAAACTGTATTTTTAACGTTACTTCATCTGTCATTTTTGAAGCTCTAGCCCTTAAAAAAAAAAACAAACACAAGACATCATGCCTGTAAAAGCTGATTAAACAAACACACATCTGTTTTCTCTCTCCCAGAACAAATCTAAAGGCTGTTTCTAGGCCCTTCCCAGATTCACACACTACAGAGAACAGCTGAGACGCACTCAGTGCATTCCACACATATGATTAGGTAACAGTAAGTGTGACATAAGGCGCAGGTGCCCTTGCTGCTTTATACGTGGGCCACACAAAAGCTACTCATTTCGTCATGTTTACTGATGATTAGCAACCTTTTATCCTACAAATTTAAGATCTATAAACACAGACACGACATCAAAGTAATTCAGGAAAACAACGAGAAAGTCTGCCCTCTCTCCCTTACTTTTGGATCCTTCTGGTCTCTGTTGGGTGGGTCGTGTCCCCATCCCCCCCCCCCAACCGCCCCGCCAGCCATGCTCACACCCGCCTTGAGGGTGAGCCTTCAGTCGGCACCACTGGACCAAGATGTCAGGGCGGCCGGGGCAGGTGGGCGATGAGAACGCTTTCAGATGGTAAAGGAACGTAGGCTGTAGAGGCTTTTCCTCCTGACTCCTGCGCCTGCTCCCTACGGCCGCTGAGCTGTAGCTCTGCCTTACCTTGATCACCAGTTTCAAACTCACAAAAGTCAACTCTCCCCAGATGACTAAACTCAGGGTAGGCAAGTCCGCATGCTAACACCGAACCAGCAACGTCCGAGGCTTTCCCTCCCACCATTCCCCGCACCACACTTCAAATGCTCCGATATTATGTAGACACACAGCCTTACACATTCATGGAGGACAAGGAATTAGAAGGCAAGAAGCCAAGAAGTTAAAAAAAAAAAAAGGCAATTAGATTATGGCTGGGTGTTTTTACTTCCAGTCACTTGACATTATATGGATGTGACCTTCCTTCCTGTCATCCTGGGACAGGCACTGCACCTGGACTGCTGGCCTACAGGACGGGTGTGCAGCGGTCCCGGAGGGCTGCACGGGCTGTGGCTTATGGCTGGGACAGGGGTGGGACCATACCTGCCAGCGAGGCCGGGACCCGAGGGCTCCCTCACACACGTCTCCTTGGCCAACTGACACCCAGACGTTCCCCTGCTTGACCCTGCGGCTGATCTGCTTACAGAACTGGATTTTCTTGGATTAAATGACCCATTCGCACCTTCCCCCGGAAAGATCAGAAAACCGTGTCAGGTGTTTCCCTTTACATTTTCACCTGCTTCGCAGGAGGGGCTCGACTGACAGACAAAATCCCAGTGAACATTTTGTGACCTGTTAAGATATCAAAGGGAGCAAGTTGTCTTTTCCTTGTGAAACGAAAAGCAATAAACTTTTGCATTCTTGTGAGTCATAAACCCCCGAGTAGGAAGCTGCCGGCGCTGTAACAGTCCAGATAATCTTTCTTATCAGAGTGCAATAGTTTATAGCCATTGTTACCAGACTCAGTCAGCGATGGACTGCATTCCTGGTTTCATGTCCACATTCCTTACTTACTCAACATCTGTCACAGGCATTTTCGCCTTCCTAACGAACAGAAGAACTGACACCTCAGGCTATGAGGAGGGTGTGCTTTATTGCTCTACGGAAAGAAGGTCCCTTTGTGCCGGGTCTCCGTCCACCGGCAATAGATGCGACGGAGATTTCCAAAGACCTGGGGGACCTGGCCTCCAGGCACAGCTCAGACTCAGGCGCACGGTCGGACGCGTCCTTGTCCCCAGGGAGGAAAACGAACCTCTCGGCCAGGGCTCGGCTCGGCGGACCCCTCGCGGACAGCAGCTCGTCCTCCAGCCTCCGCCTCTCGCCTTCCAGGCGCTCCAGTTCGTCTCGAGTGCGTTTCTGCGGGGTGACGAACTGAAGCTCTTTCAGAAGCTCTTCCTTCTCATGGATCAGCATCAGCTTCTCCTTCTCGATATCCAGCGCCCCAGGCCACGTCTCGCTGTCCAGTTTCGACAGTTCAATTTTTAAGTTGGCCATACTAAAAATAAAGTGGTAAGAGAGGGATGCACACACTGAGAACTCTCAAGAAAGGGAGAACATGAACCAGGCTAAGTTGGGGGGCTGGGTGCTTGCTGTCCTGACTTTACTCAGGGGTGACCCCCCCCCCCCGGAGGCAGGGGAAGAGCAACAGCCCCGCCCTCCAGACCCTGGGCCTGACTTGACACCCGGCTCTCATCCGCTGCCTCTTCCTCACCTTTCCAACACCAGCAAGCACACCGCCTATCTGAAAAAAGGGTGAAGGTCAGAGTACACTGAAGCTTAAAAAGCAGAGAGCTCTGGGAGCCGCGGGCGGCCACCCCGATGTGTGACTGCGTGGGGAGGGTGACAGGAGGGATCCCTGGAGAGCTTCCGTTTTATTTATTTTCAGTTTTAATTTTTTTAATAAAGATTTTATTTATTTATTTATTTATTAAGAAAGAGAGAGCGCGCACAAGCAGGGGGAGCGGGAGAGGGAGAAGCAGACTCCCCGCTGAGCAGGGAGCCCGATGCGGGGCTCGATCCCAGGACCCCGGGATCATGACCTGAGCCGAAGGCAGACGCTTAACCAACTGAGCCACCCAGGCGCCCCCGGAGGGCTTCCATTTAAAAAAAGTGAAGGTAAATGCTGTCTGACAGGACATTACTATAGATTTTGTTCCTTTGGGTAAAGATGCTGTCCCCCAGGAAAATGGTAGTCCCCAGTGTCTCATGGGCAGCAACTGGGATGTGAGCCAGTCAGGGAAGGGTGGGGGAAAAGAGAGAGCAGTGGCTCAGCCAAGCAGTAGTACAACAAAGTCAATCCAGCACGTTCCACGTGGCCAAGGAAAAGGGAGCAGCCCTGCCCTCCCGGGCCTCCTCCGCCAGAATCCTCCTGCAGCTATAGCTGTGTGCTGTGTAGTCAGTGTGTACACGGTTTCTTGAGCGCTCGCTGAGCCAGCCCTGTAGACGTGACTGCATGGACCCGGGTGCACTCCGTGCACAGGAGCCGTCCAGGAGCGCCTTCCCCAGCACGGACGGGCAGCCAGCACAGTGACTGCAGGTACTGGAGCGCTGGGGACAGACACAGGAAGATGGGAGGAGGCGCAGGAAAGCCCCGCAGAGAGGAACGTCACTGGCTGCATCATTCTGCCTGACCTCAGAGTCCACCATGTCGCGAGCTTCCCGCGAAACGGTCAAGTTAACTTCTGACGGAATGAGAACGTTCTGAGCCCCGCCCCCCGAATCAAACGACTTGCTCCGGGGCACTGTGAGCACTCTCGGGATGGTTCGCAAGGCAAATGGCACATGGCTGTTTTGACCATCAGCACCACATCAAGGCAAATTATGAACACAACTGGTGTTGGCACAGGGGATCGGTACACCTATAAAAAAAAAAAGCTGGACGATCCCTGTGGATACTGGTATAGCCCATACCAGAATATGAAAAATAGAAAGAGGGCATTTTATTTTCCTTTTTAATAGAAGAAGTTGTAGGAGGGAAGAAAAAAGGTAAACAAAATAATGTTATTGGGACAAAGATGGAAGTATATCCACATGCTTGGGCCACAGTTTCTTGTTTGAATTAAAAAAAAAAAATTGCCCTCCTTCACCAGCACCGTGCATACAATGTGCTTCTGATTTCTACCCACTGTCTGCACTCAAGATAGATGTAACATCAGCTATTCCTCAGCCAGAACCACAAAACCATACACGACTGTCTCAGTGTGCGAGAAAATTAATCATCAAAATGCTAACTAAGCATGATATTATTAGCTTCATTAAGCACATAAAGCAAAGGCTGGAGGAGAAAACAGGTTTCAGGGAAATACAACCCGCCTCTTAGAATTGAAGAAGAGAACATTTTCAACAGATGCGCAAACCCTCGAGATTTACCTCCTCATCAGCATTGCTTAGTAACTTTAAAATAAAACCCCAAATGAGAACAGGACAGCGAAGCAACCAAATGGGAAAGAACCAATATCTTAAGTTTTGATGCGACTGAATTAACAACTGAACTGGGAGCAACAACACAATGAAGGAAAGAAAGGCATCTATTACTTGTGGGATCAGGCGTTAGGTGGGTCTTGGATTTTATTTGGAAAGGGTACACCAAATCTGGGGAAGAAGATATGATGAAGGTTTCCAGGTACACCTAGAAAGATGGAATAAGCTGTTAGCAGCCAGAGTAAAGCAAAAGCTCAAGCTGATCCAAGGGAAGCCAAGCTGAGCCTCCAAAGAACCCAGGGGCACGAGGCCTGGTTCTCCAAAATTAATTCTGAGTTATGGCCATTCTCCTTCAGAATGCCAGACATAGATCCTGGGCTTTGTTTACAGTAGAACCCAGGAGCTGTGGCCGCTATTGGGTTGGTATGCTCACAGCCAGAGGGCCACAAAACCACAAAGCAGTCCTCAATCCTTATGGTGGGTAAGGCATTTGCCTGGGCTCCAAGAAGCAGCCAATAAAGTATATAAAATGTTTTATAACCTCAAGAAATGTATACTGTACCCAGGAAAACTTATAGGTATTGAAATTAGCTGAGTGAAATGTTGTTCAGAGAAACTGACTTGCTCAAGCACACATGGTTAGTAATTTGTAGAACAGAGTTTATGGGTTGTTTTTTGTTTTCCAGTCATCAAAGAGCTAAGTAATATTAGTAACAGAGGCTACAAAGAGGCAAATATTGTATTTAGGCAAATCAAAGAATTGCTATGTTAAAGCCAGATAACCTCCAAGAACTTTGGCTAATTACTTTTAAATAATCCTCATCACCAGTAACAATGGATACACTTTATTATCTATCTGATGGTCTTATGATAGCAAACTATGACATTCTAGCAGGTTCTCAGCTGAGTTTTCCATGTTCTCGAGGAGGAACATGATCAATTTCTCTGTCGCCTCCAGGGTGGTACTGCAGTTTTTTTCCCCCAATGTCTTCCTAAATAATAAATCAAAAGCATTTTTAAACTCTAAAAAGGAAAATAATGAAATCAAATAGATCAGTATGACCCTCTCCCTCAAAATGAGCAAGGCATCCATATTATGAAAATTAGCTGAGCCCGTCTGCTGGATGAGGAGGGAGAAGTCTCCTGAGCCTTCCCCACCAGAGTCACAAGGCGAGGAAAATAAAGCACAGGGTTCTAAGGGTCTAGAGGATAAACGAGGGAAATAAGAGTCTTTCCTCCTTTGCCCTAAAGTCAGTTACCAGAACAGATATCTCAGCATCTTCAAGGACCTTCGCGGGACGTCGTCCCCTCAAAGCAGAGGAATTACGCTTATTTACCTCAGAGGTCCTCGGCCTCTAAGCCCTGCAGCCGAGCCGCTGCATCGTGATTCTGCTCGAGAAACCGGTCTTCCCGCTTCTACTTGTGTGGAAGTACTGGACAAGCTCAAAGCTTCTCTCTTCCAGAAAGGGAAGGGGGCAATGTCATGCCCACACTTCTCATCAATTCTCCCTGTCCTTCAGCTGTGGGCAGCGGGGAGAAGCTGAGCTGAGAGCGGGGGTCTGCAACCTTTACATCTAAAAACCTTCAAGAGTAACCTTGGTAAGAGGATGTTGGGGAGCACCCAGCAGATGTCACTATAGGAGTAAAGATTAATTCTGGGAAAGAAAATACCATTTGAGCCCACTGACCACTGAACATGGAATAGCTCCCCGCTATTACCTTCTTTTGGCTTCTTCATACTGTAGGCTCAGCCTGACCTTTTCAGCTAAATTTGATCTACTTCTCACTCCGATCTGGTAAAAAACAAAAGGGAAAGAAGTCAACTAACTCTGCTAATGAATGAAGGTAAACTGCGTTTGTTTCTAAGAAGCACAAGTAACTGGAAAACTAAAGAAGATGGTCTTGAAATTGGGAACACCAGTTTAAAAAGGCACTTACTTTCTAGTCTCAGTAGGGGCAAAACATTTCTTTTTAATTCAAGCTTGTCTGTTTTTCAAAGACTTTAACATCATTTTCTCCACACTTTAAATTCAAGATAAAAAGTATTATGTCAATGTTTCTGGTATCTCAGAGTTTACGAAGGGTGTACAGGTCAATAAAATTTATGAACTGAAACTGATTTCCTTGTCTCCATGAACCCAAATTTCCATCACTTAGCTTCTAAATGCAAAGAACATAAACTAAGTAACTTCAAAAACCAATTTTTGAAACAGGTAAGTCCTATTGTTGCTCTCTACCTGTTTTATCTTCATAGCACAGAATTCAAAGAAGCAATAGGGAATACGAAAATAACTGGGACTGGACTAGAAGAGTATCTGCTAAACAGCATCCCAAAGAAGAGAATGCAAAACAATTAACAGTGGTCAAACCACATTAAATATTTTCAAATGCTGGGCATAAGCCACAAATTAAACGTTTTAATATAAACAAACTTTGATCTACAAAAAAAAATTTTAAGGCATATTTTTTTGTTTCTCATTAGCCTCAATGTTTAATTGAAAAGATCTGAATTTCGAAGACCTTAAATGTAATAGGGAAAACTTAAATTCTCATGCATCTCTAACCTTTCAATAACGTCTCCAAATAAATACGGTCTGAGAAAGTTTGAACAAAGCCGTTCATATGGACAGATCCTGATATGCGTGGCACCCGGACAGAAAAGATAAGGCTCTGATTTTTTAAAACCAATCTAGGAGTAGGAAATATTGAATCCACACAGCTGCAGGGCAAACCACCACGCTTGCTCCTGTCCCACTTGCCATCCGTACTGTAGATCAGGCTCGTCGAGGACAGCACTGGGGCCAACCCTGCCACGTAGATACTTACATCTCCAGAAATGCTTGTCTGTGACCCAGCGTCAAGGGTCTGTCTGGACAGAGATAAACGGGAGTTCACAGGACTGGATCTCAAGTCTGGCTCGGATGTGCCAATGCTCTGATCCAAATGGAACCGCTCCTGCAGCTTAGCAAGACTCTGTTGAGGAAACACAAAGTCCTTCATAGAGCTTAACACGTAAGACGAAAAACTTCCCCAGCAGGTAAACTCAAACTGAAAGACATGAGATCGCCATAGGAAAACGACTTTAACAGGTACTTATCATTTTAAATTACTGAAAAAATAAGATTAGAATGATTTTGTACATACACAACGTGTGACTTTGGAAGTATGTGAAATCATAATAAACGGGTTATCTTACCTTCCCCAAGACAGCATGGGAATTATTCACGCTGTGTATAATGGCATCTTTATATGTAATACGTGCATTTCTTGTTTTTAAAATGTCATTGAAAAGAGCTCTATTTTAAAAAGACTCATTTCAACTACTCACTTCATGCAGCAGAAATTATGGAAACATGGAATACCTACAATGCAATCTCATTATAGATCTAGCAAGCAAACTTCCTACTTAGCAGACTTCTATAATTATGCCACTCTACATCGGGATGGAACCAAAGAGATTATCTGCTCCCACTAACGTCAGAGATGAGGAGACTGAGGGCCAGGAGTTGCGGTCCTGGCGGCTGATCCCAAGCCTGTCCTTCCGCTGACTGCGTGGCACTGCCAGAGGGATAATGTCTGGTCTTGTAAAGTGAACGGGCCTGCTGTCGGCGCCCACACTTAATACACTGAGTTTACTTTATTTTATTTATTTTTAAAGATTTTATTTATTTATTTGACAGAGAGAGAGAGAGAGCACAAGTAGAGGGAGAAGCAGGCTCCCCGCTGAGCAGATAGCCCGACATGGAGGCTCAATCCCAGGACCCTGGGATCATAACCGGAGCTGAAGGCAGACGCTTAACCGACTGAGCCACCCAGGTGTCCCGAACTGAGCTTACTTTAAAGAGAGGATGTGAGCAAGTGGAAGTATTAAAAAGGAGAAAGATCTTAGCTACACTGCTACCAACCCTCCCCCCCTCATAAAACACTAATAAAAACGGTAAGAAACTCATTATTACTAACTTTAAGAAAAGCCAGGATTTAATCCTGACATTTATGATTCTTAGGATAAAAAATGAGAAATGTCCCCCCAAATTAGAACTCTCAGAGATCTGATTTGTGCCTTTTACCTAACCTTCTTTATTTTCTTTCAAAGGAATATTTATGCAAAATACATGTACAAGAGGAATAAAACTCATGTGGTCACATCAAATAATAGACTACAGAAAAGAACAAAGAAACCTTTAGTGACTTTGGGCAAGTCTTTTCTATTTTTTCATCAGTACAGAGAAAAGATTAGTATTTTTCAAATCTGTCTGTGCCGACCATGCACCTCATCAATCTAGTAGTAGGTCATGACTAGCATGTTTTTTGACGAAAAAGAAGAGACTAGAAAATTAATTCAGACCTCGTTACTAGTAGTAAGAGTATTAAGAAATAAGTATTAAGAAATACGGTGTGTATGTGTCTAAACATGAAGACATTTGTGTATGACTGGGTTGTCATTAGAATATATCTCTTACTGTGGGTCATGGTCAAAGAGGTCCGAAAGTCACAGAAACTGCCCACCTAACGTCCTTCTCAGCTCTACTGTTGATTGCCCTATCTACTAATTAATTGTTTTCTATGCTTTAGTAATTGAAAAGGAATCTAATCTTTTAATTTAATCTGGTCTGTGCATAAATCCAAATTTCTTCTTTACGGGAACAATCAAAGATAACCTAAAATTGCTGAATTATAAAGTTCCAATGTAAATTTGCTCAAGTTCTACTAACTTTTTCCAAAGGACCTATGGTGTACATTTGAGGAATTACTGATTTAATCATCAGGATCATGGTGGAACAAAATAAAAATACATCCAAATAAAGTTTTCTGTGTTCCACATATATATTTTTAAAATGCCATATTCTGGAGCAAGACTACCTAGGTCTGAACCAAAGTCCACCACTTCTGAGCTGTGTGACTTTGACGAAGTTACTTAATTTTTGTGTATTGCAATTTCCTGTCTGTAAGTGAGAACAGTATGTGCCCATCTCTTGGGTTGTTGTCAGAATTAAATGAACTACTTTCATGCAAGGCAGGGAGAAGATTGCCCAGCACACAGTCAATGCTTGTAAGGATTTCCTATTAATACTATAATCTTCTCCATTTGATCGCTTCTTGCAAGTTATTTCAAAATTCCCTAAATGCAAAATTGTAAGTGTTTAAGAATATGTACCTGTATTCAATTGACATTTTGAAAACTGACATGAAGTAGTTGAATATAGTATTTAAAGGTGGGGTTTCTACCAAGAATGCAAACATAGCCCCTGGTTCTAACATTTTCCTCAAGACACAGACTAAATCCTTACTCAGGGTTCCAAACATCTGAAATACAAAGAATTCTCAGGTCTTGTGATAATTATGGGATGGAGGGAAAGTAGGAGGAGGAAGAGATACACTCTTCAGAAAAAAAAAGAAAACTCAATCCGACTAAACCTACTGAATATAGATATTTAAAAAGCAGGATACTGATCACTGAATGGTTGTTTGTTTTACACACAAGGCTGGATCCCTGAGAGCTAAGCCCCCTGGGCTGAGAACCGGTCAGGTGTAACAAGGGGATCTTCTGCCATTAGCAACTTTCTTAGGATGACTAGATGGGTATCCCGCAGCTGGGTCAACACTCCCCAACTCTAGACAGCACCTCAGAGTCACGTGGGGTGGGGAAAAGCTCTTCTAAGCTCCTCATATACCCTCCCCGCACTCCTCAAGGCATATCCTCTGCTCACTGATGACGCGTGACATGCCCTTTCTGCATCCTGGGCTGAGGATCGCGGTTTAGACAACCCTGCTTATCTGGGTTCCACACGAAGTTTTAGTGAGTTGCAGGTGCACCAAAATGCTCATCTCAGATGGGCCCCGGGATCCACCACCTCCTGTCTCAAAGGCCATCCAAGGCCTGCCTTCAAATAAGCATAGCAGAACCTCGGAACCCACCTGTTTACCTCCAACGCAGCCCGTGGCCTCAGTGCCTAGAACAAAGTCTGAATGAGGCAGTGGGAGAAAGGGCCATCCAGACACTGACGGAGAACTTCTTCCTCAAGGCGAGTTTCTGGGGCCCCAGCCCAACATTTTGTCTGACTTAACAAAATGTTTTGCAACATACCTGCATCAGATCTTGCTTTTCTTTTTCTCCTGAGCTAATAGCCTTTCTGATCGATTTCAGTTCAGTTAGAATGGCTTTGGCTTCACTAAGTTCATAGCCACTCTGGCCTCCAGACATTTTTTTATCTATTCTGTTAAAAGAAAAAAAAAAGGGAAAAGAGAAAAAATGTCAAAGACTGTTGAGAGAGTACAGGTTAAGCCAACAGTATGGGAACTGGTTTTCGGATTGTTGGGGTTGGCTGATGATTCTGTTACTTGCCTTCTGATACGTACCAGTACCATCCTTTCAAGCGGATCATTCCTCCTGCTTTCTCTTCCAACCACGTCTAGCTCACACTCTCCCATCGCCCACCTCATGCCCCGTACATTCCTCATCATTTTCAGGCTCAGTCATTTTGTCTTCAGTTGGTTTGGGTGACCCCACCATGGGCCGAATTCAAAATTCCTCATGCTAAGCCCGACCTCCACCCTGAGAAAGGTTAAGGCCCCAGGGAAAGGATTTAGCAGGACAGAAGTGCCAATAAACTGGACAACTACAGGAAGATCGGGATTCCTCACCGTTGCCTAATTTTACATATGCCGTAACGTCTGTGCCAAACCAAGCACAGTGCCTACGGGCTGACGGGCCTTTCTGCAATGCGAGGGATTAGTATTTATACTAGTGAGGATCCTACAATATCTGGATCATGTGTGGTTAGTTTCTTGTTTCTTTTCAAATACATGAAAAGTACTTGTTCTGTTTTTATGACAGGATTCGACATAAAACTGCTTGCCTTGCTGACAAGTTCAAATCTAGGAATACGGCAGAAGGGTAGATGTACTCATCTGTCAGCTAACGTTGAATAAAAAGCTCTTCAAGGAGCTCATTTATGGCACCCCCAGATCTGCTCACCAAATGTCCTTACAGTTCGCTTGGTCACCCTACGTCAGAGGATTTCAAGTAACCTAACTCCTGGTACGTGACGGGCCCAACCACGTTACCGAACTCTTTTTTTAAAAAAGACGGTTTAACAGTGTCCTCACTCTCCTGATTCTCTCCAAGCACCGATGCCGCGAGGATTCATTCTGAATACAACTTGGGGTTCCCTTGAAGGACACACAGCTATGCCCCTGCCCCCTCGGCCATCGACTCTCATTCTTGGACAAAGTCTTAGTCTTATCCACAGAGAAATGGTACCTTTGAAACCACAGAGAACTGGCTCTGAGCTCATTTGGTTTAAAACATTTAATGATTTATATTTATTTCAATGTGAGGGGTATAACCTGAAAACAAAACCAAAAGAAGACCCACCAACAACGCCATCAAACAAAGTTTACTCAAGCAAGTACAGTTGGCAGATGACATATTTCCCCAAGTACTATTTTAGTAAATATTTTATTGTTGCTGAACAAAGTCTTAACCTAAGAAAATAAAAGGAATTTCATCATAAGGTTATTTGATAATAAAAGTACAACTAACGAAGTCACTGAATTAAGCAGGTGCGAGTGCACGCACACAGTGTTTAGGGCGGGAAGGGACCCTAGAGATCACACTTCCTCTCAGTGAAAAAGCAAAACGGGAAGGTTTATGCAACTTTAGCCCCTAACTTGTATAAACACTTTGTTAGTAGGGGGGACAATCCTCAAAATGACAGATTCAGGCTCAGGGCACTTACGACTATTACCCTTATCAAATAGATAAAAAGCTCAGGTGGTACTTTGAATATTGGTTAATTCCATTTATTTGGGAAGGGATTTATCACTGAAATTGTTGGCTCCCTTAAGTATTATATCTACCAACCTAGTTGAGACCAAAGGCTTATTTTAATTAAAAAAAAAAATCTGTGAGATTTCATGAAACAGCTATTAACACAGGACTCTCAAACTGTGTCAAAATGAATTTCTAAAGCCCAAGTGATTTCTTCCTATTTGTGTAAAACCTTCAGAATCTAACAGTTAAATTTTTAAGTCAGACATCAACTTTAACATTAGAAAACAAAAAAAGTAGGTAAGCTGTTTTCAGAAATCAACTTTAACACTTAAAAATAAAGGCAGGACTACGTCAAGACTGCTCATTTACATTTCAGAGAGCTTTAAAACTAGATAAAAATGTCCTGGCTGCGCACTGCTCAGGTGGGTGCTCAACATGACAAGGACAAGCCAGGTCAACTCAGGGCCCACCCCCACTCCACCCCCACCGGGGAGCCCTTCTGATCTTTCTCTCCAACTCCCTTCTGCCTTCTCTGCGCACCTCTGTTTTCCTCTACCTATTGCTTTTCCCTTTATCTCCACGTTTCTCCTCAACTCTTCATCTCCCACCTTTTCTCTCTTTTTCTGACCCCAACTGACCATAATAAGATAAAGTCAAACAAAATCAAAAAAATATGAGCATTAATTGCTGATTTTTAAAACAAAGTACTGTGTTTTTTGTTCTTAATTTGAGGAATACAATTTTATATTCTTCCCTAAAAAAATTCTTTTTAAAGTTTGTTTGGTTTTTTGGGGGGGATTCTGAGTACCATATTATTAATTTCTCCTATATCTTGGTCTCTTCCGAAAGAGAAGAGATTCCCATTTGCAAGCCTTCCCTGGAGAATATGTGCCCCCGGAGCCAGATTTTCATAGGCTAGGTATACATTTTTGGCTGGCCGAGTGTTTCACTTCTCATTTTCCACTTTTGAGTGAATGACGAAGGTGGCAAAGTAGAAATATCTTCCTGGTGGTATCTGTCTACACATAAGCTATGCTACAGCCTAGGCCCAAGTCAACTCTGGGACGACAGACTGAAATGAATAATGCAGAGAATAAAACTATATTCATTCATCCAGCATAAACTCGTGTACTCAGTAAAATGAAAGCCTGAGTTCAAATTACATTATAGCTCCAGATTTGGCAAAAATAGTCCATTCTATTGTGAATAAATGAAAAGTTACAAAAGCCTGCGTGGGATTCTATTTAAATCTTTTCCTGAAATGTATTTTCCGTCAAAACCCGAAGGAAAAGTCCCTTTATAGTATCAGGAATGTGGTTTTTTGCAAAGTATGGTCTCTGGGTTCAATCATTTTTCAATGTTCTAGTAGTATGGTGGTTAACATTTGAATGAAAACAGCTTTATTTTGTCTAGAGCTAGGATCAGGAAGAGAGGTCTCTGATGTTAGATATCATATCTTTCTGCTCTTGGTTCAAGGGATTAGAATCATTGCAAGAGAATGCCTGAATTTCTACAACAAATGTCTATTGTTTTCTTGTGGAATGTTATTGACAGATTCTTAAACATGCCTTGGATTCCTATAAAAATTGCTTGCAAGCAAACTGCTTTAAAACAATACAGCATTGTTGTATCAATAAAACAAAAACAGCAAGTTTGGCTAACCTTTAATCCTGGGTGATGACATGAGTTAGAATTTCATGTGCCTTAAAATGTTTAATGTATAGCTAAACATTTTGTAGGGCTCTTCAGAGTTTGTTTTCTCTTCACTCCCACCACAAAGCCCTCCTTTATGTTGATATGCATTTACCAAGTATCACATTTATGTCATTCTCGGTCTGCTCAGTTCTTCGGGGCGCTCTACAGCCGGCTGAGGTTCTTAGAACACAGCCATACTTGAGAACTACCTAGGGATCGCGCAAAATATACCTAGATGGAGACCAGAAACAGGTATTTTTGTAAAAAGCCCCTCAGATGACTGTGATATGCAGCCAGGTTTGAGAACCACTAGGACAGGAGCATCTGAAAGAATGCAGTGGTGATGCTTACTTGAGGTGAGTGGCAAAAAGGAAGACTGAGCCCTAAGACCCATATCTGAAATCAGCCGTATGACTGACGGTCAGGAGTCAGGACTGGTATCCTGAGCCGTAACTCATCACGCGAACACACAGAACAACCAGCTTATGTTTTGTCTGGCCAACAAACACACAGGATCTTTAAAAGGGGTAATGCCTTGCTGCCTTGGATTGCTACAGAGGGAGACCAGGGTCGGGGGGCGCGAAGAACGTGCAGGCCATCAGGGACTCTCTATAAACACCGCACCACGGTTGGCACAGAGCCCCGCACACAGAGGAGGGAAGTAAAAAAAAAAAAAAAGGCAGTTGAATGCCTTTTGAGGGATAATGCCTTCAATCCTCTCTGTGGTCATGTGGCTGTGAAAACCATCAGCTTCTTGCCTCACACCAGAGACCGTGTAGTAGGGATCGTTAGGGCTGGAAAGCCCGGTGTGCCTGTCAGGGTTTAGCCGGGCAGGACCTTGTCAGCTGGGAGAACGGTGGCTTCCGGGGACTGGGAACGGGGCAGGAGATTCCCAGAATCCACTACCCTCTGCCGTCTACATCTCCCTTGGCCTGGCCCAGTCTAGAGTCAGGCCAGTGGCCCATCAGACTTGACCACAGAATGGAAAGGACAGAAGAAAGGCAGGAAATGAGGAACCCACTCAAGCTTCTCTGCTGACCACCTGACTCGCTCCCTGAGCTCAGCCCCAGTTAGGTGGGGCCTGGGGCTGACAAAGGGGCAGAGAGACATCTCCAACCCAGGGCTCCGGGCAGGAGAGGCTCACGTCGTGCAGCCGTGAGAGCCGCACGTGGAGGCGCTCTCGCGACTACTCCCTTAGCACGAACCTCAATCTTAGAGCAGGCTGGCAGGTGCCCAGACAAAGTGAAGGTTCTCAATGGTTTCTCTGACTCGCCAATGGTTCATAAAGCTTTAGACCTTTTCAAAGTAGATAGATTTTCCCAAGTTTTTTGTTTGTTGGTTGATTGTTTGGTTTTTGGTGCAGAGCTCTGAGCCATTTTTACTTTATGTTTCTTTGAGAAATCTCTTAGGCCATCTGTACTTCTATTTTCTTTGTATGAGTTAGGGGGCTTTGAATTATTCCCAATTTCAGTATTTTATACTCACTGTTGCAACGTTTCAAAGCCTTGTTCTTTATACAGCAATTCTTGCTTCATCTGTGAGAGTTCTCTCTTCAGCTTTTTAACCTTTTGTGAGCAATGTAAATAAGAATGTTTGTAAATAATTAGCAACACTATTTTAAGAGATCGTCCATCAGTAAACTATTAAACACACAGACATAACCATTAGTTTAACATTTACTCTACTGGCTTCCCCCTGACATAAATTCTGTGGAAGGCAGGTTAATTATGTTTAAATTATCAGTGACGTTCATTATCCCCTATATTTACCCTCATCATCATATTTAGCAACATTCCTGCGAGCTGCTGTCCTGACTATCTCCATTTTGTGACAAATAGCCAGGAAGGAGGGAGTCAGACCTTGAAATCCCGGATTCTGTTTCTGTTCTGCGCATGCTCCTCTTCCCTACTTTGCTACGCTCCAGGACCGCCAGCCACCTCTCTGTTTCTCGAATGTATCGGGCAATACCTGCTCTGCTTCTGCAACATGCTGTTCCCCCTGGCTGGAAGGCTTTCCCTCAGATCTTCCAGAGCGGACTCCTGTCACTCAGGTCTCAGCTTACACGTCACCTTTTGGGATAGGAGTTCCCTAACCATCCCAAACCATGCCATTAGTTTTACTTAGAGCATGGTACTTCTCAAGAGCTGAAACATTCTGTGTACTTGTTTACTGTCTGCCCCCCATGGGAAAGTAAGCTGCCATCACACCAGCTGCACCCCAAACTTCTAGAAGACTACCGGGCACTATGAGGAATAAAAATGACAAGGACAAGCACTGTGTGATCAATAAACATCCGGTGTCAATCTGACTAAAAAATGTTTTTTTTCCTGTTGCCAAATACAGTCTTGGTGATGACAATGCTAAAATGTGCTAGGTCAAAACACCAGCAGAAGCCTGGTTTAGTCACAAACTAAAGGTCTTCACGTGGGTGTCAGAAATTTACTTCCATATTATAGCCTTAAGTTTGACGCACATTCTGTTAGACAGTATTTCAATGTGCTTTTGAACTTTTATTTCCTATTTAGTCTATCCATTCCACAAATATCTATTGACTTTCCACTATGTGTTTGTCAGGTCCTGGGTCTCAAGCACGAATAAAGTAGACAAGATCTTTGCCCTCACAAGTCCTCCAGAACAATGGGGGAGCCAGATGTTGAGCAAATAATCATCCAATGAAATACCTTACCAATTACCAGGGGGAATGTAAAGGAAAGGTTCGGGATACTTCAGGATGAAAAAGGGGGACAGGACCTGATTTAGTGTGAGAAGCTGGATAAAGCCTGTCTATGGAAATGATGTTTAAGCAGAGCTGGTCAGTGGGGCTTCATCTGGTAATGGCGGTCCTCAAAAGGCAGAGCTTGTGCACAAACCCTAAACCATGAGAGGAGGAAACTTGTCAAATCTCTGGGATTTAGGGTGCCTGGTTGGTTAAGCGTCTGCCTTCGGCTCAGGTCATGATCTCAGGGTCCTGGGATCAAGCCCCGCATCAGGCTCCCTGCTCAGTGGGGAGTCTGCTTCTGCCTCTGCCTCTGCCACCCACTCGTGCACACCCTCTCTCTCTCTTTAATAAATAAAGTCTTTAAAAAAAAATCTCTGGGATTTAGAGTATGCTACCATTCGCTGGATTACAGAGGTGGCGTGCATCATGAGATCCAACTGGAAGAGAAGGCCTTAAGAGTTTTGAAGCCACATGGAAGATTTCTAAATCTTAAGAACAAGGAAAACTGGGGAGGAATTTTAAAGCATGATCTGCTTTATGATTTTTAAAAGACACTGTCATGACTCTGGTGATTGGACCAGAGGGGCCAAAAGGGGCCATTCCACCTGCACCGTGGGTTGGCCTGGGGGCAGTGTATACAGAATGGAGCCCAGAGGAAGAATATATTTGGGAGGCAGAATCAACAGGACTTGGTGATGGGCTCAAGGCGCAGGGTGAGGGAGAAGATGTGTCAAAGATTACTGCCAGGATTTTGGCTTGCCAGGTGGGGGCACGAAGGTGCCTCCCTGGAGGGTGGGACCAGATTTGGGAGTAAGATCAAGGGTGTTCTTTGAGACTTTTAATTTTCTGATACTCAGGAAACTTCAAAGGCCATTGGAATCTGGAGGCTTGATGTTCAAAAGTGTCCGGGCCAGAGATATAAAATTGAGAGTCATTGACATCAAGACAGTACTTTAAATGCATGAGAATAAATGAGATCACCTAGAGAGAATGCGTACTGAAAACAGAAGAGAGTCTAGGAACGCGCCTTAGGCACCGTCATCATTTAGAAATCTAGAGGAAGGGGCAAAACACGCTGCAAAGTAGCAGCAAGAGAAGTCGGAGGGAAAACAGGGCATCTTGGAAAATGAGAAAAAAAAATCAAGAGGGAGAGTAGGCACTACATAGAATGAAGTGACAAGGACAGGGGCGCCTGGGTGGCTCAGTTGGTTGAGCGTCTGCCTTCGGCTCAGGTCATGATCCCAGGGTCCTGGGATCAAGTCCCATATTGGGCTCCTTGCTCAGCGGAGAGCCTGCTTCTCCCTCTGCCCTTCCCCCTGCTTGTGCTCTCTCTCTCAAATAAAAAAAATCATTTAAAAAAAAGTGACAAGGACAAGAGCTGTGTGATATTCATGTTAGCACACCTAAGGCACAACACTTTGGGTACTATGGATATTCAATCATTTATCTGTTGATAAATATCTGTTGAGTTTATCTGAACATTTAAGTTTGTGCCCCAAGGCACTTATATTTGATGAGGGAAAAGTAAACCCAAATAATGATGGTGCAAGACCCACTTTCTAAGTACAAAGACAAGTATAAGCGATGCTACTGGAATCCAAAGGCGGACAGGAGCACTTCCGCCTGGCCTCACGGAGAAGAAGCCATCTGAGCTGGATTGTGGAAGTACTTTAATATTCACGAAGAGAGTGAGCTTGTTTGCAATGGATCATAAAGACATTTCAGTTGTAGCATTCGATTATTATCAGGTCAAAAGAGCCATCAGTAATCAATAGTTCATTCCACCCGTACTTCTACTCCTGACAGCACCTCTAAAGAGCTGTTTACCAAAGACTGTAACATATTTATTTCAGAACAACAACCACAGTTCATCCAAAAATCAACAGCACCTCAAACAGCTGGTCTGAAGCCTGTCTTTACCTCTGAAAACACAGTGGATAGAAACTATGGTGATACTGAATTCACTCAGAACCACCAAATTAAAACAACGAGCATATCTCACTGACATAAAATAGCATTCTACATAAAAATCATTTGGACACACCAATTTAAATTTTTTTCAAAAATTATCATTTAAAATCTAAAATTAACTTTGGAACTTTCAGATTCTTGTCTGTTTAACTGATGGAAGTGAGATTTTATTGTCCATTGAGTGACAAAGATGGAGGAAGCTACCCTGTGCTTGCTTTCATTCCACATTATTTATTTTACCTAACGCTCGCTGTAAACTACTGTTTCCATCTTGGGGAGTCTTCGTAGTGGATTACCTGAATGATCTTTAGCTCCAAGTATCAATGTTGCATTTTACGTTGTTAACTATGAAAACGTCTGATTTCTATCATAATGACAGTCAAGTGAAAACAGGTATTATTTCCAATCAAACATCATTTCCAATTGTATTCGGTTTCAAGGATATGGTCTGAACTAGTTCAACAACCTTTCTTCTCGGAGAACCATGTGACATCATTAACTATTAGAGGATCACTGTTTCTCCTCTTCCATTCTCCATCCCACCCTCATCAAATGTGGGACACAGAAAATAAAAATCAATGTCCTTAGATCATAGCTAAAGGATTATGCTAATGCTGACTTGCAAATTTAGCACAATATAGACTCTACCAGGAAGCAATAATGACAGCTAAAATTCATGAGGACTTTATGTATTCCCGGCATTGTGCTAAATATAAATGCCTATTTTCAATCCTCACAGCTATTCTACAGATAGTTTTAATTCTTATTTTATAGGTGAGGAATCTCAAACCAAAAAAGAATAAGTAAGTAATGTGCTGAAGCTTACACTGCTACCAAGCAGTGGGGAATAATCCAGAGCCCAGGAGAAGGTTTTTAAAACTATAATCATAAATGTTTTAGTTATTAATGGCATGACAGTACAAACATGTAAGATCAAAGACAAACTAGAATTTTGGAAAATGACCCAAATAAAATCTATGGCCCTTATTTTACCTTAGAAACTTCATTATTCTTATAGCCCAGCCAAACTGAAAACATGAAGAGTCCCACAAGCTCTGGAGACCATGCTTTCTGTCTCTTACATACTCAACTTTCTGCCATAGCCAAACATCTAATTTTATAGACTTACTTCTAAGAAATCAAATCTCACAACCCAGAGTATCAAACTGGAAGCAAGAGACCCATGGCTTTCGCACATTTCGTGCTTTCTATACTGAGTACACCAAAGCAAGTGACATTTTAAATTGATTTTAAAGTTATTTCTGAAAACCAGGAAGATGCTGTGATTAAATGTGATGAGTATGACTGGAAATCACAGAGCTTCTCCCGATTTCTGACAATCCTAGTGTAATAAGTTTTATTTTAAAAGAAAGAGAAAGAAGATGACAGTAAGAGAAAAGTAAATTCCAGAAATCTGTGGACCTTGGAAGGATCACAAGACAGGCAGGTTTCAGAAGTTTGCCCTAAAAAGTGAACCCTGCAACATTAAAGCTATAATGAGCAAAATGGCATTTTACTAATGACTACCTTCCCCTTTCACCACTTTCTCTACCATCTTGCCGAGAGCTCCTTAGGCAAGCCAACAAAGGGCAACTGTCAGCTTGCTCCTTCTAGGGATCTTTCTCTTCACCACCACTTCCAATTCCCTGAAAATCCTTCACCACCCTGCCTCACCTCAAAAGTCACCTTCAAAGAAAATGAGAAATCAGCTCCAGATAGAGAAGGGATCAATAATAAAACATTTTTTGACTTTACTAAAGAATAGAGGAAAACAGAACCCCGCATGCTGTTGGAACCATTTGTGATGACTAATAAATAGATTCTGTCATCAGAAACAAGATGATTGAATACAATGTATATATATTTTTAAAAAAC